AAGGATGGTCACACAGACTTCATTGACTTAATCATTCGTCGGGCGCACGTTACTTATACTTCAGGATGAAGCCAGTACCCGTTGCGGGGGTTTGCACCCCAAGACTCCTCTTCTACTTCGGGACTGGCATAAACCTGCATCATACTGCCATAATAATTGAATAGAATGGACACATGAAAGTCGCGCACGGCTTCGCGGAACGCGAACTTCTCGAGTTGTTTAAGCAAAGGGTGATATGCATTCACAAGGAAAGAGAGCCCCAGTAGCGCCCCGGAGGGGCTGTGATGAATTCATATCCTGCATATGTCATGCGAGTTACCACGCTACTTTACGAGCACCCAGTACGCCACTTTGTGCGATCCGAACTCGGGCCGATACTGCCGCACGCGCGCGGAGGGCGCTCTTTCGAACCCCGACCGCCATGTAAAGCTACTTTTGCATGGGGATATCTCTGGTCCATGCGTCTCTATCGCTACGCGCTCTGGCGCTACTCCGTCTGCTACACAGCTTGAAAGAACAAGGATGTGCCTAATCAACACGAACAAGAACGCCCGCGGCCAATAGTGCTCAAAAGCAGGACCTGGGCCACCTTCCTCCAGTCGCTACCTCAAACGTCCTTCATGTTGATCAATCAGTACTACTCAGCTGGACCATCCCGCGTCACCAACTACTATTACGGCCCCACCCCTACCTATATCCCGACCTGCGCGCCTCGCCCAGCTCTCGCACATCCGTCGCCGAAGCCGACGTATCACTACCTCCCGCCCGTCCTCCCCACACCTCGACTTGGAGCGTACGGTGGATCACCCGTCATCATTATCAATAATGTCACCTCGTGCCGGGACCCACCAACCTTCACACCACCTGTGGCAGCCAGTCCGCTGCCGGTCTACGACGAGCCTTCGTACACGACTACAAGATATCTGGTCAACGGAGAGGAGATACCAGGAATGTCACCTTACAAGCCTGTGTGCGCTCTGGGCGATAGCACGTTCGAGGCAGGCCCTCCAATGTGTTCACCGCCCTCGCCGCGCCCAATCCCATCGCCTCCTACGTCGCCTCCACCCCCTCCGCCCAATGCACTCTCTGCCTCCCACGGTACCAACGCAACGAACCAACATATGTTCTCTTTCCCATCGTCTCGGATTAGATCAGGCTCCTCGGCTACACAGACTAGTACCAGAAGGCCCCTTCCTCCTACCCCTACTGCCTCTCGCCGTCGGTCCGGCTCACCAGACGGCCAATCCGATGTACGCGACGCGACTAGGACTTCCGAACCTCCGAACCAGCCTGATCGGGGTGCTGCTGCTGATCTCCAAACCTCGTCGCATCGACGTGAGAGCAGTACTGACTCGACGGCCAGTGACCCTGTGGTAGAGGAGTGGCGGCGGGAGTCGCGAAGAAACACATTGCTGAACTCCATCCGTCTGCGCCACCCATCTTTGTATCCCAGTGAGAGCTCAATCAGCATGTCATCTAGTGCGGCTTGCTGACGGGTATTAGACAGTGCAACGCGTGTAGGTCGTCGGCCGTCGGGTCCTCAGAGCAGAGCAAGGCGTGGATACGCAGGCGAATCTCTGGAGCATACGCCTCAAGTCCGGATCGCGTCACGAAGAGAGACCGGTCCTCGGGCTGAGACGAGGGGGAAGTTGTAGTCTAGTACTTGGTGTTCATCGCTTAGATCTACCGAATGCCATGTGTGTGTGCAAGCTCGAGCGATAATATGATGCGTTATCAGTCCTTGGGTTTGACTCGGTAAGATGGGTATTGCGACCAGCTCTACATCTCATTTCCTTTGCGATGTGATGATGTACATATGGCAGCGGTCAGCCTTCCTTGAACAGATAGCTATACGCGCTCAGCGCAGGGGCGCCACCGAGATGTGCATACAGCACGCGTGATCCCTCTGGGAACTCGCCGTTCCGTACCATCTGAATCATCCCGTCCATCGACTTGCCCTCATACACCGGATCCGTGAGCATACCCTCCGTCCGCGCGCACAGCCTAATGGCATCCATCGTTCCCTCATTCGGCAGCCCGTACTCGGGCCCTCCGAAGCGCGTGTCGAGGACGACATCCTCTTCGGTGATCTCCTGCCCAAGTTCGACCAGAGCCGCCGTGTTCTTCGCGATGCGCAGGATCTGCTCCTTCGTCTTCTCCGGCTTGGCAGAGGCATCGATGCCGATGACCCTGCGCGCGCGTCCGTCCGCGGCGAAGCCGACGACCATACCGGCCATGGTGCTCCCAGTGACGGCGCAGACCACGATATAGTCGAACTTGAAACCCAACTGCTTCTCCTGCTCCCTGACCTCCTCCGCGAACCCTACGAACCCCAAACCGCCATAAGGATGTTCAGAGCATCCAGCTGGAATGGCATAGCCCTTTCCGCCGGCCTTCTCGACGTCCGCCAACGCCTGCTGCCAGCTAGCACGAATGCCGATGTCGAACCCAGCGGCGTCAAGCCGACACTCGGCGCCGAGGATGCGCGACAGCTCGATGTTGCCGACCTTATCGTAGATCCCGTCTTGATCGCCATGGTTGACCCAGTTCTCCTGCACCAGTACGCACTTCATGCCGAGATGCGCCGCGACGGCGGCGACCTGGCGCGTCTGGTTGGACTGGATGCCGCCGATCGAGACGAGCGTGTCGTAGCCGCCCTCGATAGCCTCGGGGACGATGTACTCGAGCTTGCGCGTCTTGTTGCCGCCGAAGGCCAGGCCGGAGTTGCAGTCCTCGCGCTTGGCGTAGAGCTGGACTTTGCCGCCCAAAGCTGCGGAGAGGCGGGCGAGGTGTTGGATGGGCGTGGGACCCGGAAACGTGAGCTCGTGCTTCGGGAACTTGTCGAGTTTCATGGCGGCGTAAGTATGCGTGGGGATAGATCTAGAAGCGGGAAGGAGGGGTATAAGTAGGAAGGGCTGGGCTAGGCTTCCTGGCCAGCTGTTCACTACCTATCGAGCGGGTCCTCGAGGCGTACGTAACTCCGGTTGGAAGGTCGGTCGTACCGCAGGAGCGTTCTCCCGCTCATTCCGCTGATAAGCGCCTTGGCCAGTATCCGTAGAGCCACAAGAACTCGGCAAAGCCCATGATGCGTGATAACGCCGGTGAAGCGAGTTGAAAGCGGAGCCGTGCACGCTCGCGTCGAGACGTACTGCCACGACCGTATGTAAGAGCCTCCCCCCCTTGCGCGTCGTATTGGTCACGATATGTCGCATAGATGGCCAATAGCTTGGTTCATGAGTTTCTGCAGGGCCTCTCATCTGGTGGCTATGGTCAGTAAATTGTGATCGCACAAAGATGTACACAGCACGCACCATTGCGACCCTCGAACATTCGCCCTCCATGTACGATTGCGTAGCAATTCTCCTGAAAACAATCATGCAGTACACACACCATCCTATCAGTCGCAAAGGAACCTGTCCGTATGGCATATTGGCCGTAGCACGAACGTGGACGACGGTATGTCCCTCAGGCCGCCCTCAGACTCGCGAACGACGGACTCGTCCGAGTCTCTGGCGCTGTAAGCTAGTTTATACGCAGGGGCCAACGTGATGTGGCGCGTACGACCATCATACGCTCATGAAGGGACAGTCTGGACATCGAAAGATGGATCTCAATTAGGCGACATGAAGGTCGAAGACGAATTGCATCGGACGCAGTCTACACTTCTCGACGCCGCCGCCGCGGCGCCGCGCCGTCGACCGATCGAACTTCGAACTTACCATGACCTTTAATACATCGGTGGGTGCTAGACTTGATACTTGTTCCTACTCGCACTGACACTGTGTCTCAGGATTCCCTTGAACATGCTCACACTCAGCCGGATACTGACCTCGGTGACAAGTTGATGGTAAAATACAAGCGCGACGCCAATCCCCAAGATCTTGATGAAGCGATAGCAGCGTACCGGCGCATACTTGAGCTCATACCCGACGAGGACTACTCGTCTAAACTTGTACAGCTCAACAGTCTTGGGGTGGCCCTGTACACTCGCTTCGAACGCTCTGGTGATCCTGATGACCTCGACAGCGTCATCTCGGCGGGGTACAAATCTGTCGAGCTATCACCTAAGGGCCACGAGAACGAGCACTTGCAATCAGGCAATCTAGGTTCGACCCTATGGGTACGCTTCAGACGCTTTGGCAACACTGCCGACTTAGAAAGCGCACTCATTGCGAAGCGTCGAGCTGTGGATCTCACTCCCGACGGCCACCCTGCCAAAACACGTTGGCTGACGAACCTCGGAACCTCTTTACACGACCGCTTCAATCGCTTTGGAGAGGCTAAAGATATCGAGGAGGCTATTGCAGTCCAACGCCGTGTAATCGAGCTTACGCCCGATGATAGCGCAAACATGCCAGATAGCTTTATATCCCTCGGCCTCTTCTCCCAGAGTCGCTTCAAGCGCTACGGTGACACCGCCGATCTCGAGACTGCAGCGGTATCTATGCGCCGCGCCGTCGAACTTGCACCTGAGGGCCATCATGATAAAGCGCGACTCCTGGGCCACCTCGGTGCCATTCTATGGTCTCGATTCGAACGCTTCGGCGATCGTGCAGATATCGAAGAAGCCATCGAGGCCAAGCGTCGTGCGGTAGATCTGACTCCTGATGGAGGATCGAACAAGCCGCGATGGCTCACCAACCTCGGAACCTCCTTGCTCTCTCGTTTCGAGCACTATGACGACGTAGCCGACCTCGAGAGTGCGCTTCGCGTGCAGCGACGAGCAGTCGAACTGACCCCTCATGATCACCCAGACTTGTCGTTCAGACTCGCCAATCTCGGGGTCGCCTACCGAAGTCGCTTTGTGCGCTTTGGCGACAGCGCCGATCTCGACCTCGCTCTGGAGGCGGAGCGCCGTGCAGTTGATCTGACGCCCGATGGCCACCCGAATAAACCTCACTGGCTGACGAACCTCGGCGTTCTGTTCCATGAACGCTACAAGCTGCGCAAAGACGTTGCAGATCTGCAGAGTGCTCTAGATGCGAAGCATCGCGCCGTAGAGCTGACACCCGAGCAACATACGCTCATGCCGATGCGTTTATCTAATCTCGGAGTGTCGCTGATTGATCGCTTTTTGATCGCGGGCGACCCAGCCGATATCGAGAACTGTGTCGGGGTAATGCGCCGAGCGGTACAGCTCACATCTGATGGCCATCCATCCAAATCACGATGGCTGGGAACATTGGCTTCGGCATTGTGTCTCCGCTTTGAGCACCTCGGACGTGCGGCTGATCTAGACGATGCTATTGCAACTGGGCGCCGCGCAGTCGAGCTCATCCAAGAAGGCAATCCTGGGCTGCCTCGCGAGCTGAAACAGCTGGGCGAGATTCTATACGCTCACTTCAAACGAGAAAGGAGCCAGCAGAACTTCACAACGGCAATCGATTGCCTCATGAGAGCATCTAAAGACCGGCTGGGCGCGCTGTACGACCGCTTTCGGGCCACGGAGTTCGTCATCATGCTACTTACTCGTCATCCTGAACTCAGCACCCCCGAGGTCACATTACAGGCGCATGCTCGTATGGTCGATGTGCTACCCGAGATCGTGTGGCTGGGACACGACATGCAACGACGTTTTCAAGAGTCTGCTCGTGCGGGCCGGTTGATATACGCGGCCGTGTCTGCTGCCATCGAAGCCGGGGCTCTGCGTCAAGCTGTAGAATGGATGGAGGCCGGGAGATCACTGGTGTGGTCGCAGGTCATTGCAATACGCTCGCCTGTCGAAGAGCTTCAAGAGCGCCAACCGGATCTCGCGCAGGCCTTCCACGCCGTTCAACTTGACATCCAGAGAGCTGAGCGCGATGATGCGTCGCTCCATCTGCAGGGCTCTTCTGACACCCTCAAGGACACCGCCGGAAGTGATATGCTGAACCGCCATCGTCAGCTTGTGGTCAAGTATGAGCGCCTTTTGGATGAGATTCGGCGTTGTCCTGGGTTCGAGGCGTTTCTACGTCCACCGCGCTTTCAAGATCTTACAGCCGCACTAGGACCAAATCAGGGGCCCATCGTGTATCTGAATACAACTTCCACTCGCGGAGACGCTTTGATCGTCGATGGAGGCTCTGTAGAAAGAGTTGCTCTCCCTGGCTTGAATGAAGAGCGCGCCACGGAGTTGCGCAAGCGATGGTGGGGTTGCCTTCAGGAGAGCGATGTGCGCGTGCGAGGGATGGCACCCAAGGGGCGCATACAACGCGGTACAAAGGCGATACTGCAACTTGTACTCAAGCGGCTGTGGACGTGGATCGTACACCCTGTTCTACAAAGACTGTTTTTTGTGAGTAGTCCGATCACCGATGACATCCACTTCAACTCACGGTTCCCTGGCTTGTTTCTCTTTACAGCTCAACGAGGCACGCCGTGCTGATCTTCCGCATATCACATGGTGCCCTACAGGATCGTTGATGCAGTTGCCGCTACATGCTGCAGGTATATACAGCTTTAGCACTTCATCCGGGCTGCGAGAGTCTCATGCCTTCGACTTCGTCGTCTCCTCATATACCCCTTCTCTGACGGCTCTCGCGCGCTGCCTTCGGAAGTCGGACGAGGCACACCATTCAGCACCAAAGCTGCTCGTTGTAACCCAACCCGAAACGCCGAAGCAAGCGCCTCTTCCCCACACGCTAGATGAGGCGACCAAGCTTCGTGCACTCCTACCAAAAGAGCAGAGGACCTTCCTGAACCACGACCAGGCGACGCTATCTTCAGTCCTCCCTGCCATCAGTCAGCACGCATGGGTACATCTCGCATGCCACGGCTCCCAAAACGCAAAAGACCCGACACTCAGCGCTTTCGAGCTGTATGATGGACCGCTCACCCTCGGCGCTCTGATGAGCACCGCATCCGATGATGCGGAGCTCGCCTTCCTATCCGCTTGTCAGACAGCGACGGGGAACGAGAGGATACCGGAGGAGTCGATGCATCTTGCAGCTGGCATGCTCGCGGTCGGAATGAAGGGCGTCATCGCGACGATGTGGTCCATCAAGGATGAGGATGCACCGGTCGTTGTCGAGACGTACTATAGGAAGCTGATCGAGCTGCGCGACTCTGGTTCATATGGAAGAGTGAGTACGGGAGCCGCATATGCATTACACGAGGCGACGAAGCGTCTGAGGGAGGAAGTCGGAGATAATGCCTTCGAAAGATGGGTGCCATTTGTTCACTTTGGTGCTTGATGCAACCCGGCATTTGTGCTGCATTCGCTCTGCCTCTCGATATGCCGTCCAACCTATCTTCTTACAATTCATGTATTCTCCGCGATGAAGCTCGCATGATGAGTGGGAATGATGCACACGCAAGATGGAGGTCAAGAGAGAGTCGCAGCTCGGTCGGAGAATGCCGCGCCGCGGTGTCGAAAAGGAAATTCCGCGTGCGTTGAATGATGTCCGAAACCACCACTATCGAGCCGCGCCGCCAGCTTCATCATGAAGCATTTTGCTTTTCAAACCTCATACAATGACTGCAGTTCAGTGACTTCCAGAGTGTGCCGTCTTAGCTCGCAAGCGCTGACTCCGTCGGCCCGCGAGGTACAGGTGAACACGGACGAAGGAGAGCGGCGGACTGCGTCGAAGCAAAGAACCGCCAGGCTCCTACAGGCATCCCTTCTCTCCGCATTCATTCCCCGAATCAGGCAATAGTGCTGCCCAGCAGCGTGTGCAGTAAAGAAGGCATACGTCTAATGCCGACACTTCGCGTCGGCGATAACGCACCAGACTCCCATTGACATGTCTTGCCCTACGAAAGCAACGCCGATGTTCGTGCATCTGCTCAGGTTCAACCTATGAGGCCTGAAGTGTTTCCTCCGCTTTAGGCATTGGCCGGAGTACGGCCTTAGCTTAGCTCATATTGGCTTACCTGGGTTTCACCGAGGCAGAGGACCGCGAGTACTTGCGTGTACCATCGTTCAATGACAAGATCTTTGAGGGAACGCTTATAGAGCCTGCCTTTCTGTTCTTCTTGGCTAACAGCCTTCCTCTTGTTACTCTTCTATTGGTAGCCATGGTCTACCAATCTTTCTTGTCCAACTCGACTGGGCTCTCCTCTTCAGGCCTTATACAGATCCTGAGCGAACACCTGGTGCTTACTACAGGTCTTACCGCTGGCGTCGTACTTGTTGCAGTCACGCGCTACCTTCAGAGCCCATGGCGAAAAGTTCCTCCTGGACCATCCGGCCTGCCCTTCATCGGCAACGCGCTCCAGATGGTGGGCGACCAGTGGCTTCAATTCAGCGAATGGAGACGTGAATATGGTGCACCCTTCCTTTACTCCATCCCCTGCAACAAACGCTCATGCTCTCACAGGCGACATCATATACCTGAAGGCGATGGGACAGCCGATGGTGGTCCTGAACAACCCCGCCATCGCGGCCGAACTGCTCGAGCGCCGCGCTAGCATCTACTCCGATCGCCCGACAATGATCGTAGGACATGATATCTTAAGCGACGGCCTCATGCTTCCGAGCTCTCGCTACGGCGAAACGTACGCGAGTCCCTGCATCGCACTTGCCTAGCATACTACTGATGAACTCTCCAGGTGGAGACGCATGCGCAAGGCCGCGCATGAAGCGTTGAACAAGGTCGTCGTGCACGGCTTGACGGAGTATCAGCTGGAAGAGGCTATCGTCATGGTTCGCAACACGATGCAGAACGCGGCGGGGTGGGATAGGTTCATCCGGAATGCGACTGCGAGCACGATGCTTCGCAGCGTGTACGATGAGTCGCCGGTCAGTCTGCTCTACATAAGCTCTGGATCACCCGTTCACAGAGACCTCGCTTAGGCATCGAAGGAGCACGACGTTCGCGTCAAGCAGATCAACGAGTTTTCTGAATACGCTGCCTCTGCCGCTGCGCCCGGGGCATACTGGGTAAGTTGCGTCGTGCATTAGCGCCTTTCTGCGAAGCTCATGTGTATCGTTGGTAGGTTGAGGTCATGCCGTGGATGCGGCACATTCCCAGTGTTCTCGCTCCTTGGAAACGCCAAGCGCAGGAACACTACAAGTTCTACAACGCGCTCTTCCACAGCTTCCTCGGTCGTGTACAGGATGGCATTGTACGTCCACAAGTCCAGTCTCGTTCACGGCGAATGTAGAGTTGATTGATGGCTCTGCAGGATGATGGCTCGGAGCGAGCGTCCTTCTCGGCAACGCTGATCCGCGATAGCAACCGCTACCGGTTGAAGACGCGCGAGAACGTATGGCTAGCTGCCTCAATCTAGTACGCCTACCCTCATACTCTTACTCAACCCCGAACAGCCAGATAAGTCTGAGTGCGTCTCCAGCGCGGCAGGCAGCGACACCACGCGTGCGGCGCTCGGCTGGTTCTCGCTGGCCATGCTGCTGTACCCCGACGTTCAAAAACGCGCTCAGGACGAGCTGGACGCTGTAGTCGGCCACTCGCGGATACCGACGTTCGCCGATCTACCTCGCCTGCCGTACATAAGCGCCATCATCAAGGAGGTGATACGATGGCGGCCTGTGACGCCGATCGGAGTGTACGCACCAGTCGCTCTAGCCTGGCCGCATCTTCCTGCGTTCTGACATCTACCGCGTCCGGCTTGGTAGACCTCATAGGAGTACACAAGACGACTACTACGACGGGTACTTCATCCCGAAAGGAACGGTGGTCATCCCGAACGTCTGGGAGATGAACCACGATCCGGCGATATTCGGCGATGACGCCCATCTGTTCAATCCTGGGCGCTTCCTCGACGAGAAAGGGGAGTTGCTGTCTACCCTCCCCGGTTCAAAGGACGACGGGCATTATGCTTTCGGTACGTTCTATTCTACTATTCTCCTTCTCCTTCGACCTGAACTGACTGTGATTGCGCGTCAGGGTTCGGACGGCGGTGAGATATCGTGATCACGCTCTGCTACATCCGGACTGACGATGCTTTCACTGTTGCAGGATCTGCGTCGGGAAACACGTAGCGAACAACAGTCTTTTCATCGACATCGCAGTCTCTCTCTGGGCCTTCTCGTTCGTGAACGTCAAAGGCCAGACTCCCTCCGCAGAAGGCTGTATCGACGAAGGTCTCGTCGTGTGAGCCCCTTGTTCGCCCCGTCACCCGTGGGAATATCTAGTGCTTATGATTGCACACAGCTCGCCCAAATCTTTTGAGGTCGATGTTCAGCCTCGGTTCGCGGAGGCGTTCTCTGTGCTCTCGCAGGAGTGCGAGCTTCGTGGACGGTGACGATGGTGTGGCGAGACGGAGAAGAGCTACTTGAACTGGGGTTGTACGTTCTTGTTGACACGAACCTGTCAGCGTGTATTCAGAGGCCGCGTATAGAGTATGTGCACATGCCCGCCTCCGGGGTTTCAATCGCTATCACCTCCTTGTTGTACAAAACCATATCCACGTTCGACCGAGAGCCGGGCTCTAGGAAGCGTACGATAGGAAACGTGGAAAGGCAGCTTATATCTTGCTCAGTGTTTTCATTGCGGTGACGTTGCCCCTGACGCAGTTTCGCAGGTAGTCATTGATCCATCATATAGCAATGCTCTCATAGCAAACACATCCTATCGTACACACACAATCCAAACCAAGTCCGCTCTCAAATCCTACAACGCAAACACCTCAACGCCCACACCCACGCCCCCCGCCCTCCTCACCTCGCCCATCCCAAGCCTGGCAACAGCGTTTCTCGCATCCCGACACAGCGCCTCGGGCCCCGCAGCCGCGACCGCGACACCTCCACCCGCGTGCGGGGCCAACCACCGCGCTTTAAGCACAGACGCGTCGGCGCGCAGCGGCGCGTCGTCTTCCCCATCCCGCTCGGAGCTCTTCTTCGCGGGCGTGAACTTGTCGTCGTCGGGTGCAGACGCCGAAGGGAGATCGGCCGCAGCTACAAGGTCGTCTTGGCTCTCCACGTCGATTTCCGAGGGGAGAGTGGGCGAGATGAACTCGCGGAGGAGAGAGTGCAGCACCGGGCGCGCGACGCTCACGGCGCTGTTGGGGAGGGGCGGGACGGCGGAGGGGTTGCAGAGGCACGTGACGAACACGGAGAGGTGGACGTCGAGGTCCGCGGCGGGGTGCGAGGCGGCCGTGAGGATCTGGCGGAGGGGCGTCGCGAACCAGTCTATCGCGCCTATCTCACACGCATCAATTTCAACAACTCTCGTGGTAGGATGGCGAGAGCATGTAAACGCACCGAAAGACCGGACACACCACACGACCTGCACCCTGCGCGTCTTCTCGCCGCCTCGGCGCCCGAGCCGCACGACGCGCCCGACGATATCGTCCAGCACGCCCACGATCGCGCTCATGCCCGCGCCGCCCGCGACCAGCAGCGCGCTCTCGTACTCGCCCAGATCGATCGATAGACCGCCGTACGGCCCATCGAGCGCGACCTGGATCTCCGCCCCGTCAACCTCATCAGCATCCAAGCCCAGTCCGGCTTCGTTGAATCTGAGAGGCTTCTTCGGGTCCGACAGCGCGAGGCGCTCGAGCTCGGCGCGGGCGTAGGAGGAGAGGGAGCGGGACCAGTCGCCGGTGGCGCGCGCGGCGAGGAGGAGCGCGCGCGAGGATGTCACGCTGTGTGAGAGTGGGGCGGAGGCGATGGTGAGCGGGTGCGATTCGAGGATGTGCGGGCCGGCTAGGACGCGCACTCGGAAGTGCGCGCCTGGGGCGTACGAGCCCGATACGCTGTGCACTTTGATCTGCGGGGGAGTTTGAGCTGAAGAGGAGGTGATGATGGGAAGGGAGGGAATGTACGCACGAGCGTCATGTCGTTCCCGACCGGAACGAGCGTGGCGTCTTTGATGCGGAAGCGGAACATGCGCATGAGCACGTCCGCCGCGTAGAGCGCGATGGGCGGGAATATCCACGGCGCGGCGTATATCGTATGGTAGCACACGCAGACGAAGAACGCGACGTAGAGGCAGACGTGGGTGTAGAAGAAGAACTGGTACGCGAACGCGCGCACGGGGCGCACGCTGAGCAGCACGATAAGGCACAGACACGCGAGCGCGGCCACGCCCGTCGTCTCCTTGTCCGAGCCGAGGATCTGCAGGCCGTACTGCAGGTGGTTCCGGATCCAGAGCGCGCCGTGCACGACGGCGGCGAGGAAGAGGCCGCGCCCGGCCCAGCGGTGGACGTAGTTCAGCTTGTCGTACGCGCCGGCGCCGCCGAGGAGGAGGGAGAGGACCGAGTTTTTGGTCGCGAAGAGGAAGACGGGTGGGAGTTGGGCGAGCGCGAGGAAGCCGGCCCGGTTCGAGTTGTCGATCAGTGGCGCGTTCGTCACGACGCATGCCAGGACGAGCGCGATGTACCCTGCACAGAGTAGAACTGCACATTGATCAGTATGCGATACTATGTGTGGGTCGCAGTATCTCACTTTGTGCGATAGTGAGCCCAGTGCCAATCGGACTATACACAAGCCAGCTCTTCGCCGCGCTGAGCAGTCCGTACACGCTGCTCCTCGAAGTCTTGACTGCCTTGATCTCAGCAGGAGGCACGCTCTCGTATGACCTCCCCCAGTCATCGCCTACCCCAGCCACACCCGCGAACGCAACGCCCCGCCGCAATCGCGAGACGAGCGCAGGCGCGCAGCCCACGACGGCCGCAGCGAGCACAGAGCACCACACGATCGTGAACTTCTTCTGCCATGCAGGTCCGTCGATGTACGAGCTGCAATGACACTCGTCTCAGTACACTGCAAAGAGCAACGGTAGTGAGGAAGAGCGCATACTTGTACTGAGCCAACTCGGTCGGAATACTAGGTGCAGTGCCGAACGACATATCTCGAGATCGTACAAGGCGTAGAGTGTGCTGGTCTTCTCGTCGTCAGGTCGTTCTGGTCGTCGGTCGTCAAGAGCTTACACACCGTTGTCGGTGTGAAGGTCCAAGAATACTCCTCGTATCTGAAGCTGAAGCTAAGGGCCAGCCGCACCGGAGGGACAAATAGACGCAAGCAGGAAACAAATCTTTTCACGAGGCGCCCGCAGCGCGCGTGAAACGTGTGTGAAAGGGAGAAAAATGGTTTGAGCAACGCACGGGCGTGCGTCTGCGAGTTAGACGCTGACGGCCATGTTCGTCGAGTGCACTCGTTGCGCTGGCTACGAGCTTTTGAGCTACCGGGATAGCACCCGAATATACCTCTATGTTGGGAACTCCCGAAACTGTATGAGGTCGTACCTCCCTGCAAGCTACATGCCTCATACGGCTACGAACATCGCGCACTCGCGTCGACGGTGTTCTCAAGCGCATCCAGCATGGTCCTCAGCATGTATCTACCTTCCAGTCATCTGCGACAAGCTTGTGAATGTAGTTTATGCCCGCGTCATCATCTTTCTTCAGACAAGCGGGAGACTGAGGCTGCTAGCCGGTCCACCCAACGACGTTGTCAACAGATTGGAAGCACGTTGTACCAAAACTATAGCATCTCCCACACGACGTCAAGACTAGTAAACGACATCGTACTCTATGCCTCCACTCAACAACACCAATAACGGTCGTTCACCACCCCCTACCGCCAGTACGTCCTCCTAGCTGCCGGTATGGTGTTGTCCGGCGCGAAAAGGACCCTCAGAGGCCCATCATGCATCCCGGGCAGGTCGGGATCCAAGCATATATACTTTTCCCCGTCCTCGTCCTTCGAGCCCGACCCTGGCGCGCTCTTGTTCTGGGTGGATGTAGAAGGCCCGGCTTTGCCGCTGCTCCCAACGACGCTTTCGTACGATGGCGGCGGAGCTCCGGACGATGACGATGGGCCGGCTCCGTCGGGCGCGCGCGGTGCGACGGTTTGCGCCTGAACGGTGCGGGAAGATGTTCGGGAGTAGGCCGGCGGTGGACGGCTGACGGAGCTATTGCTGGGTGGCCCTTGTAAGGAGCCACCGGTATGCTGCTGCTCTGCTTGAGACATGGTCGATCTGGCGGTTGGAGTTGGTGAGTAGTGGATAGCGAAACGGTACGCGCTCTGAGGCTTATGTACCACCAGGCTCCTTTGTCTAGACAGAAGAAGGCCGCGTAGTGCTGGCAACCAGTGGTGCGTGTGCTCTCATTTGTCCCAGCTCGGGCTTTTCGCTGTGCGCATGTAGGATGACCAACTGCGATCACACAGCGACTTCTTGCATTCGATATTTGGTGCAGGGGCCACGACAGCGCATTGGCAGTTGTATTGTGTCCATGCGCGAGAACAAACGGCGAGAACAACGACGATCAGATGTCAAAACAATATCGATGTACCAGCACAGAAGCACAAAACACGAAGCACGCGCAAAGCACAAAACAGATGATAAGAGAAGATTCAAGCGGGGGAAGAAGGCCTCTTCGGGTAGTGAAGGTTTTGTTCGGTTGAACGCGCAGTAGTGGAGTAGTTGCCGTTGTACCGAACTCGCATTGTTTGAAGAGCATGGTGGTGCAGGAGCAGGACGCGATTCGCGATTCTTGCGGGAAGTACTTAACAATGGCCGTCCGGCCCGAACTGCCGAACCGCGTCGCCGAGCGCGTCGGGGATCCAGGGTTGGCTACCGACCGTCATGTTCGTCAATTTCACTGGTCACTGTTTGCGCTATACTTGCGCTGAGCTCGGTCATCTACTGGCGCAGCATCTAATGTATCGTTGCTCTGCATAGCAAAGCAGCCTTGTTCCAGACGGCTGGCTCTGCAGCGGCTGGCAAGAATGTCGCGTGGTTTAGAGGGAACCGGTGACCGGCGACAGGACCACTGGTTATTGGATTAACCTGGCTCTGCAACATGTTTGCTGTTCAGAGCTACTACAAAGAACCCCTTTCATCTTGCGCTTGTTCTACGGGAAAGAACGTCTGTCGTGACAGTGCTGCGGACGCGCACTCTCCGTCAAGGCGCATCCAGTTCGCCATACCCGACGGTATCGCTTGCAGTCAGAGCTTTCGCTCTCTCACACTTTGTCTCGAGATGAGAATCATACACATGATGTTCGAAAGAATGTCCGGCGATCAATACTAGAATTGGTAAGTTAAGACTTGTATCATCCTGAGGCCTGGAGGCTCCTGATCGCCTCTGTCGCAGCGATCCGCTTCGCTTCTAAGCGTGTCGCCCCAGAGCCGTATCCAACAGCCACGCCGCCGACTGGAGAACATTGGTGTCAGTACATGATATCTCTTGCGCATGAGATCGATATAGACACCTCTCTACCTTTCGCGATGGCAATGTGAACAGAATGAGGCCCCGGGGGTCCTTCAGTTCGATAGTCCCATGATAAAAGATGTGAGGAATTACGTTGGAGTAGGATACTATTCAAGAGATTGACGGGGTCTATCAACATGGTGAGTATGACGTGAGTGACTGTCAAGAAATCGTTGAGAACCTTGAGAAGACATTATCTCGCTAAAAGTGTGAGGTGTAGGTGCGGTGTAGATGCTCAAGGAGAGGGGTTCCAATGTAGATGCGTGACGAGATGAGAACGGGTGTAGGTTAGGCTGAGTGTGGATGCTGATTCCTGAATGAAAGGTGGTTGTGCGTGCGTGAGGTTATAATTTTGAGTGGGTTGCCAACCATTTATAACTTCTCTGGTCGCGGCCAAACTCATACTAGTACGCCGGTGCGCCAGCACAGCAAGTTTCAGATCAGTGAAGGATACTAGCACGATGATCGAAGCCAGAAAGCCGGAAGCGGTGCGCTGTCACTATTTCCTCCCGAGACGTTTTCGGTGCACGTTGTCAGGTCCTGGCAGTTTTGCGCAGCTCAGAATGAAGTAGCAGGGCTTTGATTGCAAGCAGGGTTTCGCACACCTGTAAGTAGATGATCTCGGTACGTTTCAACACCTGAACGACATCGTGATGTAGTCACAGGCCAGATGATGCATTCCTGGAGTTTGATGTCTTAACTACGCAATCGCTGGTCGAGGCCGCTCCTGAAGCAACGAGTGTAGAACGCGCGACGCTTGTAGTTCGTCACTCACCCTCCGGCTCCTGATGCCCGGGGCATGCTCTTTTCCGTACGGAGACGCACAGCAGATGGGTGGGGATGGATCTACCAGTTCACGTAGGCGACCTTCGATAAAACTCGGTATCATACGGCTCGGGTGCGTGGGAGGACCCTGCCTAATTAGAACGACCCTCTGAATAGGGATTGGCCTTCTCGCATACTACCATCTAAATCAGGACCGCAGCCGCTAAGCTTAAGAACGGCGCACCTTAGTTACAGCACACGATAGCGTGAAGCTCAGTGACGACCAAAGATCTGCAGCTCGAGCCGCTGAAGCGTGTGCTCCTCGCAGATGAAACTCATCCGAGCCTATTCAGCTTGTGTCTTGCGAAGATGGCGATCCCGTGTGCATGTGTATGGGTGATCGCTAGCGACAGACCCGCCATAGACGGACAAACAACCGCACGTGCCTCAAGCGTTTCGCCCAAGTTTCGTGTACATCACGATGAGGTTTTCAGTCATAATCGTCCCCATTTGAGTATAAGCGCCGGTCGGTCCGTTGTTGCGTCATTACATGAGCTGCGCGACGGTTTCAAGTGTGGGGAAGCCTGCCTTAGCTGCGGAGCGCTTGTATTGTATGTGTGGCCATACTTGGGCAACTCCTCTTACCGCTCAATGAATGGGTCCACCGTGTCACATAAGACTGGAGATAAGCTGAGTACTGAGCGTACTCACCACTCACCTCAAAGCGTCAAACCGGTCGCATCAATCTGTTTAGCTGACCTGCGCTCCTTGCAATACACGAACTGACACAGTCGTACAGGAGCCCATTCCAGACGGCTGAGCGCGCAAGAAGATAGCAACTGCTTAGGGTGATCAAGGGGTCCACCCTGCAGATGCTACGTATAACTCGCAATATCATGAGTGTTCAGGTCGACTAGGCGATAATAGCCCACAGACCAGACTGCATCGCATAATCTTTGTGCACTCGGCCGCGAGCGCTCGGCCGAAGGTCGAAACTCCCCGTCCTGTCTGTCATGTTCTTCTGGCTTGCGCCACAGAAGCGTGCTTCAGGCTTCAGCTGCATCTTGAGCAGCGCGATGGATGGTTCCCAGCAAACTGCGGTACTTCCGAGTTCCAGCAGTACGCGAACGTACAGCGAGGCCCTTCTAATGAGCTAGATCGAGTAGCTCGCTGGCAGAGAACGACACCAAATGGGAGGAAGTATCTCCTTCTATCTCCCTGCGGCGAATATAGTGGGGCAGGGCTTTCAGGCTGCCGAAAGATTGCCCAGTGACGTGCAGTGCCTTCAACAGATGCGGGCATCCCAAAGGATATGTGGCACCAACCCCGGTATTCCGCTTTTATATCGTGCCATGGTCGATGGTGAAAACACCACCGGAAGTGTTACACCGGAGGGGCCAAGGCATTCCAAAATCCTCATGTTGCATCCAGCACCATGTCTCTCACGCTCTGGCAGCTCCGGAGTAGTAGCGCAGCGTGATGAGCGCAATGAGGCCAGTAGTCGCCGCGCCATTCGGCTACATAGCACCTTGCCCGCTCTTGCCCGGCGCCGGCATTTACGGAGTTGGCAAACATGATACTCGTATCTCCAACACCTGGCAAAGCGCAGATAGAGCCTAGTGGCATGGAAGGTGCATAGCGATTGTTGAATCGGTAGTGGTGGTACTGGTGAGAGTAAGGCCGCGCCGACATGGCAACTTGCCACGCGTCGCGAGCTGTCGCGAGAGCTGTGATGAGCCGAACTCTCATCAGTCCCTCAACCATACCCCGCGCTCTTCTACTCTGATATTATGTCGCTCCCTCGCTGCTCGGGGTCATGTGCCGGAGGACTCAGCTACTACGAAACCATCTTTGAGACGATTCTGCATACATTCTATGCGCGCGCAGGCATTCCTCGGAGGAACACGATTATATCCGGCTCGTCGCAAGCTCATCGCAATATATAGAGAGGCTTACGCGGCATCTGGAACTCTATCAAGGAACTACGAGAGTCCGGACAGATGCTGACAACTTGCTATATCTCCATGTCGTACAGGCGCTACGCCGGGGAAGCGTTGGCGTGCGAGCTGAAGCCGAGGACAACGTTGTGCCCTTGAGGCTGTCCTCCTACGGGTCAAGGTGCGTGCTCGATTGTGCGGGAGCATGGGAGATACTGATGCTTTGTACAGATCCCCTTACAGCTAGGTAGCGGACTCGCAACCACTGGCGTGCAGCCGCATTGGGCCCCTCAAACGACCTAGTAGAACATTGGTCTAGATGTAACGAGTAGGCTCTGAACCATCCGGGATATCTCTGGGCTCACGAATAGTACTATAGGTCATGGACTTTGGGGTTCTCCGGTACGCCTCTCTCCAACCAGTTCTAGTTACGAAACTTGCCATCCCTGGGTGCCGCTGTCAGGAGTCTCTATCACGCTCACTCGATTTGCCGAAAGCCGTCGATGGCGCCCAGAGATAAGCGACAAGAATTCTCAATTGAAGAGTCGGTATGCTAAACTCATTTTGACAACGGGGAGTCTGTCTCTCATAACTGTAGAGAGTGTATAACTGAGCTTACGCCCCGTTTTAGCTTTTCTATCAGGTCGACAGCGAGTACTACTACATCCAACGGTTTCACGGGGATATCGCATTGACAAGCGGAAACTATCCCCGACCTTGTACGAGGCAGTACGATTCTCATCCTCGGGTCAGCCCATTTGGCAAGTGCACGCATGAAGTGAGGACGCCGAGAATATACGCGAGGCGTCATATCTCGACACGCGGAATTATGCCGGGATACTAGTCAGCTTTCAAAAGCGCCGATGAGTAGTAGCCACCAAAGCCGATACGGGCGAGACGATCACTTGCCAACCTACTTTCGCTTCATTGATCTATGCACATATTCACTATCGATTGCATGCCGTTTGACCGTCTCATGTCAATACTCTGGCACTCTCATAACTTGCAATGCCATTTTTTTCGGCGAGCTCTGGGACAGTACGGCCAGATAGCGATACACGGTTCAGAGCTCCTCTGGCGCTCATATCGCCCCCCTTCTTCCAGAAGGCGCTGCTACGCCTCGAAGGTGACTATTGGCCCCATGGGTCTACCTCGCGTCTTCGTGTAGATAGATATTCTGCGGTGCTCCTTTCCCTTATTCCTTCTATCACATCATGGCGACCGTTGACCACGACGACAGTGACCTCTTGACGACGGTCAACCTTCTCCTCAAGAAGTGCTCTCAAGCACGGGATTCATTCAGGAAAGAGGTGTCATCGCAGGATGAGTTTTGGTGCACGTACCTGCGTGTTACGCGCGAAGACGACGAGACCCGATCAAAGAGTTGGGACGGTAATACAGGGAATATCTTGACATTCGTGCGTATGCCCATGTTGTCTCATATCTTCGAGAGCTGACCTGGTCGACGGTCGTAGACTGGCCTCTTCGCCGCCGTCGTCGCGGCGTTCCTAGTAGAGAGCTATAAGTCACTCTCACGCGATCCAAGCGCTCAGACAGCAGAGCTTCTCGCACAACTACTGGCGGTAGCGACGAGCTCTGCGCCTAGCCCCGGTACCACACTGACCTCCAACGAGCCCTTTCGTCCTTCTCTTCCATCGGTTTTGGCGAACGTGTTTTGGTTCATGAGTCTCATTCTATGTCTCGTATCTGTTCTCCTTGCAACACTCGTACAACAATGGTCGCGAGACTACACGCGAGATATCAAACGGCGCGGGTCCCCAGATGAAGGCCTTGCGAGCCATGCCCTGAATCATGCTGATGTTCGGATGGGCGTGGATCGTTATGGCATGGATAGCGTCGTCGATATCAATGTTGCGCTTGTTCATCTAGCCGTCTTTCTATTCGGCGCGGGACTATTATTGTTTTTATACCCAATCAACTCAGCGGTCTCTCTGTGTGCCTCCTTAGGCCTCGGAATATCTGGGGTGGCTTACCTTGTGGCCAGTGTCATGCCGATTTGGGACACCAGCTGTCCGTATCGAACCCCTTTGACCTATCCATGCGCGATTGCATACTCAGCCTTTTTTTATCTTCTTTCGAGCTTCCGAAAAGTGCCCCGCTTTATCTCTTTGGTCAAGATACTTCGCCGACTATCTGAAACGTGGACCCTCCGTACCTGGCTCGCTGATCAGATCTCCCAGTTTCTCAAGCTGTGCAAAGACGTGGCATTCGTGAGGATTGCTCAGCTGGTTCCTCGACCTGAGAAAGTGGTGATCATATCGACGAAGCGTAGAGCGTTCCGTCGGATAGACACCGCCATGTCATTATCGCGCTTTCAGTTCATGTGGCGGCGAGTCAGCGCCCAACTGATCTGGGATGCAGATCCCAAGTCGTTGAAAGTACTGCTCGAGTCATCTGTAGAGATCTTGCGCGCCATGCCGAGCTCTTCTAGCATCCGTTTCGAGTGTCTAGACCATCTATCCTGCGATGAGAAGTTAGCGTGGAGACTGAGTAGCATGGATGGCAAGCATCTCGCATCCTCACCTCCATACGCGGATACATGCGTAGCGGCTCTCAAACTGTCATGTCTGTTACTGCGACGCAGTTACCAGAAGCCAGAGATGTGGGTGCAAGGCACCAAGCACCCCATATCACATCATCTTTTGGCCCTGTTCTCGATAGTGCAAACCCCGCCAGAAGCTCATGAAGGCTACGCGTCTTTCCATCTTCTGCAAGCACGTCTGTGTATATTCCGTCTGCGTTGGTCTCTGCTCCTTCTCACTCAAGACTCCCCACCGTCGGAAGATGCAGGACGGACTCTGAACGCGTTTCACAACATCTACCTCTCTGAAGCAGCGGATTCGGAAGCCCGTCGGGAGCTATTCGCCCGACATGAGTTGCTCGAGCGGCCGCTAGCCCTTCTGCTCCTATTGAATTCTCGTGAATACAATCATATAGATGCAATCGGGGCCCACTCGGTACATGTCAATGGAAGTGCAGACGTGGTCTCCTGCTTGGTCCCCCTTCATGATGATCTATGTTGCAGAAGGTTGGACGGCTCGTTTGAGCATATGGCGGCCTGTGCCATCTTGACATTTGTTGCGCACGTATTCCGGGCACGCGAAGATGACAGGGCAGAACTGATGCATGACTATCTTTGGGAATATGGCCTGTTGTGGCAAGGTCAGGGGTTCGAACCTTTGGTCGAATGGGAAGCAGGTTTCGCGTTGGGCGAGAACGATGGCACCCGTAGACCTTCGCCTGAGTTTTTGAACATCTTGGATGACCTCGGCCTCGCTGTGTGGCTCGAGGCCAACGATGACTTCGCCAACTTGCCACAGTTGGACACGACGCAAGGACGATTCCTTGCGTATAACGACGGAATGTTCTTTAAGGCCCTCCGCAAACTCAAACAAGGCGTGAGGGTACATAGCACCCCATCCGAGAGCTTTCAGCGCACCCTCGAAACGAAAGCGACACTTGAAACCGACGCCCCATCTCATGAGACCAATGACTTTGAGTTGAAGACTGTCAGGGTGGATTCTGCTGCTTGCGTCGCATTCCCGCAGCAACGTGTACGATGGGTACTAGGCCATATACAGGGCCCTCCGACGCACAATTCCGCACACTCGGAACATAGTACAGAGGGTGGGGAATGCACTCACTATGGAGGGCAAGCGGGAGCGTCCTCGGCTGTTACATGCAAAGCGCTCGTATGCCGGACGCCGGAGGCGCAGAAGTCGACGGGTGATATGGCAAAGTCGGACGAAGCGTAACCGCTTCTGAGCACACGTTACCGAGGAGCGTGCAAGAAGATAGAGCATTCTTCGGTACGTCGCAGCATAAACTGCACGCAGTACCCTCTCGTCTCTGGCCATGCGCGAGAGACCATGGACGTTTGTGTCAAGCAACCCGTCATTGATCCGACTCCCACAGGGCCCGGATCACCGCTGACACACTGCCTCTTCTCGATGCCACGCGAGCTGGTATTTCTTTTGTGTAACCTTTCGCTTTGGACTCTGAATCTCTTTGAGGCTCACGCGATGCGACGCAGACGAATCGCGAGCGTGACTCCAACCCTATGTACGGCTCAATGTTTCAATCTTCACTATGTAGCAGACTTCCAGTTCAAGTATGTACAGCTCAATGGTATGTCGAATCGTAGCTAGCGTCCTCGCAATGTCTACGGTTGCCGGCTAGTCCGAGGCCCAACTCGCGCGTCGCGTCTCGCGCACGACGCGCGGCGCGGCAGCTATCGGCCCGACAAGGACTTACCGTATCCCCACCCTTCGCCCCTGCAGCATACACGGCTGTCAGAGTACCCTCCCGGCATAGCTATCGACCTTCAACAACCTCCTTCGGGCGAGGGTGACACCCGGGAAAGCTGTAGGTAATATTTCCGCGATTTCCGAATCTTTTCCACGCCTCAGCCGCGAGCTCTGGAGGACATGGATTGCTATATACGCTATCGACGCTTAACAGTAGGACACATACCATCTGTGGGAGTTTCTGCTGCAGTAATATAGCCCTAGTGACTTCTGTGGCCGAGAATTGGACATACTATTTCACAAATAGACTCAGTAGACTTAGTCCCTATTACTCAATATACTGCTTAGTCGTTGAGGGGTCGAACGTCTTAGCCCGGCAGACCGCACTAGCGCGCGTATACAGTCATCGTTTATGCGCAGCTGTTAGCAGAAAGTGAGCGCTTCGGTGGTGTCTTCTCAGCGATTCAACATGTTTTTGAGAGTGGAAATGGCGAGGCAAAAGGCTTCTGATGATATATATATACGAGTTCCCCCCAGTCTCTACTCTACACCACTACGATTCCAACGCCCAGAGCCTCACTAGGTCGCCCAGACGCGCGGTGGGACGAGCACCGTAAGAGCTAAGAACTAAATAACACAGCCGACAACAGCCGACAACCTGCGGCTGAGGCGTGGGAAAGATTCGGAAAATCGCGGAAATATTACCTGCAGCTTTCCCGGGTGTCACCCTCGCCCGAAGGAGGTTGTTGAAGGTCGATAGCTATGCCGGGAGGGTACTCTGACAGCCGTGTATGCTGCCGGGGCGAAGGGTGGGGATACGGTACTGTAAGTCCTTGTTGGGCCGATAGCTGCCGCGCCGCGCGTCGTGCGCGAGACGCGACGCGCGAGTTGGGCCTCGGACTAGCCGGCAACCGTAAATGTCACATGTATTTACAGTCTGGAGCCCTAATAATCACAATGTTCGAGAATCGTGTACCAGTCTCGGTTCTCAAGAGAAGTATACGATACGGCTTCAGTATCGTCGACTGATCTTTCTTCGAAGGAACTTTGACTGGGAGCTTTGGGTCCCGTCTGCTAGCTCCCTTCAGATACCGTTCCCGCTGACCACGACCCATCCGTCACTCTCCTGTTGCGAGCTGGTCGGGGTCTGGACACGTCCGGGCTCACATTCCACTTCGCTATTGATCTAGCGAGGCTTTGGCGATTTGCATCAATGAGAGATGGCATCGCGTTCGTTGGCGATAGTCCTTGGTCTAGTGGAGGTCCACTTCCGACTTGAGTCGCAGACACCGGTTGTGATGTCCGACGAGGGTCTGTGTGGTGCACGGGGTCGCGCACAGTCTGCTTAGGTCTGCGCGCATGAACCGTGGATGACTGTCCGCTTTCGTTGCGTGCGTTCGTACTGTCATGGCAGGCCGTATAATGCGCAGACGGACTCGGCCTTGCGTTCTCTTGTCGCGCAGAGACTGGAGCTTGAGCTTGAAAGTAACGCCCGTGGCCTGCCACGAGATTCTGAGAACCATGGTCTTGGTGTGTCTGAGTAGATGACGCCGTGCCGTGCCGTTCCAGACCACCACGACGTTTCACCGTCGCTCCAGCTTTGTCCTGCTTGTCCGCTTTGAGACCCTCGCTCCTGGATACGCGAACAAAGCACTCCTGATGACATTGATTGGGGGCGCGCGGAAAGCTGCCATCGGCAGCGCGGCATCGGCATTCGGACTCTTCCCAAAAGAACGATTACAAATAATCGCCACAGTAATGGCAGTGACATCTATCCAGTTGCAATCAGCGGCTTGTTTCACCGGTCGAAAGTAGAAACTGCACGGACGGTCATTCGCCTGGGTTCGTATCAGTCATGTTCGTTTGACTAGGGGATTCAGAAGATGATGAAGAGAGCCATCTGTGGATTAAGTAGGTCTGCCGCTCTCTTGTTAAGCTTAATCCGTACACTTCACCCGTTGTTTTCTCTACAGCAAGGCCATTCGCTCTGACTCTCTACACAACAAACGCCTGTCAATGCGGTGGTTATCGATGACACCAACGTCACAAATGCGGCAACATCTTGAAGATGCTACGACCAGAAGGTAGCCTGTAATCGGCGTACCATTGTGCTCAGAAAGAGCAAAAACACTGCCATCTGCCTCATTCTCGGCAACCCTTGTTATCTCGGTCAGCTGGTATAGCTTTATCAAAGCCGATGCACTCACACTGCTGTACCGCGCTACAACTTGAACACTCGTCCGTGCACTCATCGACTACGTCTGCTTTCGTACTGAGAGCCCACGTATCAGCTAGTTCTGAGTTCTGCGCGCCGCTCTTGACGAGCTGAATAGGCGGTAGCGCGGCGTGACGAGAATTGGAGAGGTGTAAGGAGAAGTGCGAGGGTTCGACATGGCGCGAGTATGGTTGATCGTTTCGCTCGTGATACATACTTGTCTCCTAAACCCAAAGTCTCCGTCCGAGTTGAGTGAAGCTATGGTGGTAGTATAGACATGGCCAATCCGTTCACGTCGCGTCAGCGGTGGGGACGGTGATGGAGGAACAAGAGAAGGAGACGACGCGCGCGCGTCATCGGTGCTTACCGCGCCGTCGGTCGGCCGTCGGCACGGGTGCCACCGAATCCAGGAGCGACGGTACTGGTTGAGTCCGATATGTTCTGCACGAGTTATACATTCCTGTACTTCAACTTTTACTCAAGACAAAAGGGATTCGGCACGTTAAGTACATCAAGCTCGTAACACATAATAATATACAAGTAATAAACTCGTCAATCGTCAGTCGTTTCTATGGTCGTAATGTAAATAGTCCATGGTTGGGTATCTTGAGTACGTTCCGGTCCTTAAGCATAAGATATGAGGACTCGTGTAGTCATGTAAGCAGCCGCGATCCAGAGGAATCTCTCATGATCAGCCGTCTAGTACTGCCGACCCATCTTCCTCGCGGGCGTACGCGGCGTCATCCACGGGGAGGGTACGCAGTAAATCCCGGGCGTGAGCAAGACTCCGCCGTCATCGTCCTCATCGTCGGCGGGGATCCTCGCAGGGGAAGCCCAAGGGTTGTGTAGAGCGCAGTACTGCCTCCCATCGCATCCGTTGCAGATGTTGACGCCAGTATAGGGCGTGCCCATGATCGCCTGAGTGTTGGGGCTGAGGTTGTACTACACAGACAAAGTCCAGTCAGAGAAAGCTTTTTGCCATGGAGATCGAGCGGTAACTTACGACGGATGGGGCCGGTAGAGGGAGCGCTACCAGAGCTGGCGAGATCCTGGGAGTCTTAGGCCTGCGTGGGGGAATGTAGACCGGATACTTCGGTGCCGGCGGAGCGTACATAGGAGCTGCCGCAGAGCTCTCGTAGAAGTGGTTCTCCACTGGTCCTTCGAAGTACTGATTGATCACTTGAGGAGATGCCACGGGGGAGGGGCGGGTATATGTCGGTACAGGTCGCGCGGCGACGACCGGAGGATAGTAGATTGGCGCGGCCGGCAAGGGCGACCAGTAGGCGGGCGGAGTTCCCCAGAGGTAGTAGTTGTGGTTGTACGTGGGTCCGTTGAACATGGTGGTAGCGATGTGGGTGGGTGTGATTGTGCAGGTCAAAGCACGCCTCCACCAGCTTTATCGCATGCTCCAGAACAAGGACGGTCAGAGGCTGAGGCACAAGCACAGCTGCGCCAAGTAGTTATGCAGAATGCTATGCATCATGGACAAAGACAAGTGGTGACGAGGAAGGACATAGCGCGATTGTGTGTGGCGGCTTTGACAGGTTGAACGTGTGGTGGCGTAGCAACCAGTCCGAGTTGGTCCATGTTTGTTCAACGACTGGGCCTCCATATCCGCGAGCGGCCAATGCAGTGCGAGAAGGTCCTTCCAATAGGGTAGAGCGCTAGTTCGGAGAATCTCTCGAACATGACGGGCGAGAGCGAGTTGTGAATCGGAGTTCGCTAGGCCAACGGAGCCTGACCCGATATCTCCGTTCAAGCGCGCGTCGCGTCACGGTTCGTCACACGGTCATCTGGTTCGCGTCTTGAGCGCGGCGTCCACCGTCGTCGCGGCCGTCGCTCTCCCGACGCGCCTCTCCGCTTCTGCCTGCGTCTTTCTTTTGGCCGGGCTACCCAGAAATGGATACGCGATGCTTGACGCGACTGGACTCTGCACATACTCCGGCTCCTGCACCGACCGCGGAGAACGACGCGTTCGACGGAGAGCTCTCCGAGTTGTCAGAGTCAGACGTCGAGATGGACCCCGAGGCTCAAGAGGAGGAGGACGGAGCAGAAGAGCGGTCCAGACCTGAAGGAGATGAGGATGGCAAGTTGTCAGAAGACGGTATGTCTACACGTTACCCGCACTGCAAGCAATAGCTCAACCGCCCATGTTCAAGAACGGCCTACCAAGCGCAGGAAGACTACAGGCGGAAGCTCTCGTATCACCCGTACCCGTACTTTGTCAACCACGACCGCTACTAAGAAGAAGACCACATCGGCACCCAAGAGGAAACCTGCTGCTCGCTCGCGTGCTCGAGGGAGCCGGTCGAAGAACATCATGAGCCTGCCTCTCGACGTCATGTTAGAGGTAGAGCGCAGACATGGTATCTCATATTACTTGTAACTCACTTCAAACGCCCAGGTCTTTACTGCCCTGCAACCGTCCGACCTCCTTGCACTCGCCCGTACAAGCAAAGCCCTTCGTCGCATGATGATGAACCGTGCACATGTCGACGTATGGAAGGCCGCGCGCGCAAACGTTCCCGGTATCGCAGTACCTGAACCGCACAACGGCGTATCTGAGCCTGCATGGGCACACCTGCTCTATGGCGGAAGCGCATGCTGTGTGAGTTGCAACTCTCTTCGATGCGTGCTCGCGTTCATGCTTGGCCAGTCATGTGGTACGAAGAACGTGCAGCGTGTCGACTTCGGCTTACAGAAGAGGCTATGCACGGCCTGCAAAAAGCGATCGTGAGTCTGCTGGTCCGAAATATATTTCGTCAATGCGCTAATGACTACGGTACAGGCTCGTATGGTCCTCTCATGTCGCAAAGCTCGGCATGGACCCGGCGCTCATGGACCTTGTAGGCTACACGAACGGTATGCTCCCTCCTGAGCAAACAATTCACCCCAATTATTCATTCGCGACGTCTAGTTGGTGGCTACTCGCACGGCTACGCTGCCAACAGCCGCTTCTATTGGAAGCAAGACTTGTTTGACATGGAGAGGAAACTCGCGGAGATGCGAAGGGGCCCGGGCGGAATGACTGCCATACGTAACTTTCGAGCACAGCGAATCGCGCAGGTTGACACGTGGATGAAGGCGTGTACCGAGCCCATCCAACCTCATACGGGGACGCTAACTATGCATTGCGCTTTAGGCTGTGAAAGCGTTGGATGAGTCGATGCAGCAGAGCAACTACGATAGGTAAGTCCCGACTTGAGGCTCCTTAGCCCGAGCCATATCTGACCAGTATACGGTAGTGTCGTCTCACGCCTCACTGATGCCGGATACGAGAAACAGGACATGCCTCTGCTATCCAGCCTCACCGCCCTGATCTCAACCAAGCAAGAACTGACCGATGCAGGTGAGCTTTCATTCATATGCGCATGTCACCAATGGGAGAGCGATACTCATGCACATGCCGTTCACGCAGCCTGGAAACGGCTACGGCCCAAGATCGAACCAAAGGTGATCGGATATAGGGATAGACGGCTCGCTCTCGAAGATATGAGACGCCCCGGACGGCGCTCGCGGAAGGCCGCATGGCTGTACCGCGACTTCTTGCACACGCTTGTGCCAGTCCAGTGGCGCTTCCTGCCTACCCCACAGCATATCATCGACTCTCAGTGCCGCGAACTACCCTCGTTCAAAGCCTTGGTCGATATGAAGAAGGAACCGGACCAACAGGCGTGGGACGACGCCGTATCCAAACTTCCTATGGAGCTCTCCGCGCACCTTATTTTACAACTTGCGATCTTGAAACAAGCTCTACCCGATCTCAGCGATACGCCCGACAACTTCACTTTCGCGCTGGCGTCGGCCGGCTCGGACGCGTTCGTCTTGGACGCCATCTCAGCGCGCTTTGCGTCGCTGGATCTTGCGCGATCGGTGTTCATACGTGGCGAGCGCGACTGGACGACGGGGTGTGATAACCCACACGCATGGGATATGATGTCGTTGTCCAATGGCACTGGAAAGCCCAAGCTCATTCCCCGAGGATCAGCAGCCGTGCGCGCGGTCGCGCAGCTGGCCGGGAAGACCTTCGCTACGGTCACTGCGACTGAGCTGGACGTCGCGTGCGGCGATACGTGGTTTCTCTGCGGGAGATGTGTACAAAACGCGAACAAGGATTGTGTCGCTTACAAAGGATGGAGAGGTTTCGTAAGTCCTCACACACTCTACTCTCAGACGCACCTAACACTACAGCGCCTAGGTTGATCATTGTGTACGAACCACCACAACCGGATCTGACATCCATCAACCCGTCGTGTTCCCTACAAAGACTGGAACAGGCGAATTCAAACGCACCAATGCGCCCGGTCACCGGTACTGGGCGTGCACGCATTGCGCGGAGTACTGCGTGAAACTGAGCCCGTACGCGCGTTCTTTCATCACGTTTGAGCACGGCGTTATGGTCCATTCTTCTGCGATGGAGACGTTTGTCTCCGATGGAAAGGCGGAGTTCGCGTTTGGGGGGCGCGATGATTTGATACTGCATAATAAGACGAAGTACGTCGTCGATGTTGGATTGCGAGCTGAGGTTGAGGAGCTGATAAGTGTGTGCGACAGGCATGAGATTCAAGATCCCATTGAGCATGTGGACTATTTCTACTACGCCTTGCCGGGCGCTACTCGACCGGTGACGTGGGCGAACGTGCCGCGGCAGAAGCCGCAGCCTCAGCCTCAAGCGAAGGTCGCGCCTGTACCCAATGCCGCACCTATGTCCAGGTTTGGCACTGTGCCTACGACGAAGACTCCCGTCACCGGTGGCTTCAACTGTATGCACTGTGCAAAGCCAGGGCAGATTGGTCGGGCACGCGTCTTTACGGTCGAAGACGGTGTTCGCTCGCATATCATGGCGAAGTGAGTACAACCCATCTTCTCTAGAACATGCGCTGATCCGGATTTCACAGACATATGGATGCTGTGGGGACCAAGACTAAACAGATGCTCGTCCTCAAGACCGACTTCATAGCCGCATCTTGAAGGTTCCTTCGACTCGAATTCATAGATCTGACTACTGCTTTCTTGCTTATCGACGTACTTAGACTGCTAGCGATCCTGTGCTATACTCATTTGCTCTCGCAATGCTCTGCTAGTATCATCTTGACTCTCTCACACACTCGCACACTACTCTACTCTACGCTTTGCTATGATACCCTGCTTTGATCTATCGTACTGTTACATCCTGCTATCAAGTGATTCTAGTCATGAGTTGGATCCTGGCGTAGCCTTGAACTCCTCCAAGTAGCCGGTGCCCTCATGATAGGGCCACTCCACGAGAGCTGTCTAATCGGCGGTACCCTGGCGATGCGAGAACAAGCCGCGTACTCGACTCGCGGCGCGAGTGGCGCCCTGGCCGGACCGAAGCAGCCGAAGCGCGCGTTGCGTCACGGTCGTGACTTCTCTCCGTCGCGACGCGTCTTGAACGCGACGTTCATGTCGTCGTCACTGGTCAGCTATCGCCCATCGAACATATACCCCATCTTCCATTCGAAATTCTTCCAGTAGTCAAACTCATCTGAAATGGCTACGCGTCGCTCAACGCGACTGAGCTCTGCACCGGCATCGGCACCACCTTCTGCCTCCGTTATGACGGACGACACGTTTGATGGAGAGCTCTCTGAGCTTTCCGACTCGGATGTGGAGATGTCTCCCACCACTCGCGAACCCGAGAAAGAGGAAGAAATATATAGCGACGGTAAGGAGGGGAAGGGGGAGGAGGAGGAGGAGGAAGAGGAAGAGGAAGAAGAGTGGTCAGAAGACGGTAAGAACTATTTGATTTGTACGATACCGTCAATGGTTGACACATCTTCTAGACCGCCCTGCTAAGCGCAGAAAGACTGCGACCGGAAAAGCCGTTACCACTCATACGCGTACTAGAGCAGCTGCCACTGGTATGAAGAAGGCTGCACCCAAGCCGAAGCCCGCTGCGCGCTCACGCGTGCAGGGTCGGCTGAAGAACATCATGAGCATGCCTCTGGATGTTCTATTCGAGGTGCATCGTGCCCACCATTGTTTTGAGGACTGTACTCTAACCCTCGGCCAGATCTTCTCTGTGCTCCAACCGTCGGACCTCCTAGCCCTCGCTCGTACGAGCAAAGCTCTCCGCAGCGTGATGATGAATCGTGCACATATCAGTGTATGGAAAGCTGCGCGGGAGAATGTACCGAGTTTGAAGGCACCTGAGCCACCTGTGGGTGTATCTGAACCTGCCTGGGCTCAGCTGCTATATGGCGGCAGCGGTTGCTACGTGAGCTTTGAGATTCATCGTCGAGCGCTGAATGACCGATACTCATCATCTTCGCCTAGTCATGTGGCACGAAGAACGTCCAGCGCATCGACTTCGGGATTCTGAGGCGGGTGTGTACCCATTGCAAGAAACGCTGGTACGTCCAATACACAGTAACCACGTGCCACATTTTTCATAACGGTGCCTTTATCCAGCCTCGTATGGTCCTCGCGATTTGAAAAGCTCTGTGAGGGGATGGATCCTGCTCTCATGGACCTCTTAGGCTACACCAACGGTTAGTACATCTCGATTCCTACACGCTCTTCACAATGAGCTAAACGATCCATCATACAGTGGGCGGTCATTCGCATGGTCACGCCTCGAATAGTCGATTTTACTGGAGGGCAGATCTCGTTGACATGGAACGACGGCTTACTGCTATTCGTAAGGGCCCGGGTGGGCTGAAAGCCGTTGGCGAGTTCCGAGCGCAACAGATCGAACAGGTCGAACAGCTCATGAAGGTGCGAAGTTCGAACATACATCACTTCAGATCATACGATACAATGACGTCACACTCCGTATCCAGGATGTCGATGAGTTGGACAGGTGGATGGCGAGATCAGCAATGCAGGCCGCTGAGGAACGCGAGTCTATACAAGATAGGAAGTACAAGAGGTTCGTGAGTGTCATGTATACCCCAACTGCATCTATCTGAACCTAGTACAGTATAGTCGCACGCTTTGTTGCTGCTGGATACGAAACCCGCGATTTACCTTCACGGTACGATCTCAAGACTTCGCTCTCAAGCAAAGCGGAATTGACGGACGCATGTGAGTTCTGTCCATCTCACCTGCCAATGTCTCACTCATGCGAAGGCTAATTCAGCCTGGAAACGTCTTTTTGCGAAGCTCGAGCCTGTAGTTATAGCTAAGCGCGATGAGCGCTTCGCGTACGAGGAGAAGGCGCGGGTCCTCCGGCGCGCAAAGATGGCTGCGTGGCTATATAACGGCTACCTGCAGACACTCGTGCCCGTCCAATGGCGGTTTTTACCAACACCGCAGCATCTCATTGTCAGTCGCTGTCGCGATCTATCGTCGTTCAAGGGTCTGGTGGACGCGGAGGAGGAACCTACGCGGGAGCAGTGGGACGAGGCTGTCACCAGGCTTCCGGCTGAACTCTCTGCTCATCTAGTTGCGCACCTCAACGTCTTGAAGGAGGCTATTCCCGATCTAACGGATGCACCGGAGTCTTTCGAGCTCGCTTTGTCATCGAACGGCTCAGACTCGTTCGTCCTGGCCCAGATCGTTGCGCGCTTCTCCTCGCTCGATCTTGCGCGGGCTGTGTTCATGCGCAACGAAACCGACTGGAGTGTGGGATGCGACAATCCACAGGTGTGGGATCTCATGTCGGCATCGCCCATCGCAGGCCAACCTACCTTATCGCCTCAAGGAGCTGCCGCTGCATGCGAAGTTACCAAGCTAGTCGAGAAGAGTTTCGCGAGCGTGACAGCCACAGAAATGGACGTCGTGTGTGGCGATACTTGGTTTACCTGCGAATGCTTCGACAAGCCCGGCATACAGGCAATGGGATTTCTGGGGTGGAGAAGCTTCGTGAGTATTAACATTCTTCCCATACTGTAGTCGGCCTATGATTGACCAATGCTCCAGGTGGATCATTGCATACGAAAGCCGAATGACGTCCATGTACCGATTGCGATTCCGCAAGACAGCGCACCGACCGTGCAGAAGCGCACAGATGCTATCAACAACCGCCAATGGGCATGCGTTCATTGTCCGGAGTACGGTATAAGGCTCGACTCGCACGGATACAGCGGGTACGGGTCCGTACCCGCTGATCTTTCTCCGATGGAGAAGTTCGCGATGTCGTATAGCATGCCGTTCCCCAACCTCGATACACGCTCTGCTCTGATCCAGCATAACCAAACGAAGTACGTATCTGACGATTGGCTATCTGATATTCATTGTGCTAATTAGAACTTGCGCGATAGGCACGACGTCCAGGATCCGATTGAACACATAGACTACTTTTACTACGCTACATTCCGTGGCAACCGGCCGATAACAACAACACACGTGGTACGCAAGAAGGTCAACGCTCAGGCCAGCGCACACTCTCCCGGCACTGGCTTCAACTGTATGCACTGTGACAAACCAGGGCCGAAGGGACGGCATCGCGTCTTCATTGAGGGCGGTGTTCGATCACACATTATGGCCAAGTGCGTCTCTTCATCCTCTACCTTGATCGACAAGTTGCCTGACTATGATCTCAAATAGACATAGGGACTCTATCGGGGAGAAGACCGAACAAACCCTGGTTTTGGGTACTGATTTTGCGCTCGCTACTTAAGGATCCGATTGTTGCACGCGCCTGAACGCCGTCGTATCAAGCTCGTCTACAGGCCTTACTGCTAATCTGCCATAAGCCTGTATACTTCCACACAGACTAATTGTTGGATGGCTCTTGATTATCCACCATAGTGCCGTATATTGCTCGTGAGCTTTCGCTATAGGTGCTAATTCGATGTGTGACTCTATTGATACCGTCGCCTCATATTGTGCCCATTGTCATTAATAGGAATTCCTACCTATCGTGCGCTCCGCACGCGTGTCAGGAAAGCAGCTGTCGGCATACCACCTCAAGCTCTCAAGGTTTTCGTTCGACAGTACTCAGCTCCATGAGAGCCAGTACTGATCGAGGCATACCGGCGTTTGATGAGCGGACACCGTAGCCTTGCGATTGGTGCGACGCGCGACAGGGGCATCAAACGTGCTCGGCGGCGTGTACTCATTCTCATGACCACTTCCTTTCTATCCACCATGACCGCTCAGGCATGAAGGCCGGTCGCTATATGGAAGCTCTCGTACATCTCTGTGCACTACACAGTGGATATAAACGGCTACAGTCACTCGACAGGTGTTCAAATAGCAGCCGCCCAAACATCAACATGCTTCCCGCTGTTCAACTCGAGACCGCCCGGATACAGCTCCGGCAATTCATTTCCCTCCATTCCTTCGTGAACGACGAAGACCAGGTTCCAGGCTCTTCGCTCCCGGAGATAGTCGCCGGCGCAGTCCCATAGCTGTGACAACCCGTTCATAGGGTCGGCTTGCTCCCCTTTGATGTCGATATGCAAGGCGTAAACGTTGCCCGAGTCGTCTCCGAGGACACCATGTACTCCCTCCAACTCATGAACAATGGGAATCCAGTAGAACGGCCCGAAAGCGTCTGCATATATTGGATGGTCCGGGTCGTCGAGGTCGCCAGGGAGTTTTGGAAATAGTAGTTCGAACGCAGGATGCACTTCTCGCCTTCGTTGCCCGTTGAAAAGGTGAAGTACATCGCTTCCGGAGCAAAGCCGTTCATGCGTCCGATACTCCAGCTTCCGATCAGATAAAGATCTTGCAAACTGAGGCGCGCGGAGAGCCACAGACAGACGAAGTATCTGCTCCTTTGAGGCAGTGGCGCCCGCATACACGAACAGCGTCCGTAGATGTTCAGTTGGCATAGAGTAGACCCACTGCTGTAACTTCGTGGCTGCCATAGGACAGATGAAGAGAAAGGGCGCGTAATCATCACAGAGTTCGGATAGAGTACAGGACAGCGCTTGTGTGGGTCTTGTGTCTCCGTAGACTATGCGCGCAGCGTTCATCGCCCTCCGTTCGAACGCCCATTCAACATCAGCGAGGGAAGCATTCTCGAGACGTCGAGCGAAGTCAAGAGCCAGCCGCAGAGAGGGGCCCCATTTCCGCACCATGGCCGAGATTTGACATTCAGATGATGCGAGGTTGTGCTCTTTCCTACAGGCGAAGTCCATAGTCGGGCCGTCAGAAGACGTCGGGATCGTTCGAAGAAACATACTCACACCACAGCGACGATCTCTGCCTCGGTTGGGAGGCTCATGACGAGTGTCTCAGTAGTCTCCTTCATCTTCGTCCACGACTTCCATATCTCAGGCGTTGGACCCGTCACTTGAACGACACACGGGGAAAGGAGCCGAAAAACCTCGCAGGGCTGCTCGCCAGCTAGATCGCTATCCGTCAATGCCCAGCAAGCTTGCAGCCGATCATCAAGTTGTCCAGTCGGGCGCACTGCCCAGCCTTCATGGTCAAACAGGATATAGTATCTCGCATGATGCTGAATCGCCGTCGGCTGGCGCTTTGCGAGGCGGTAGAGGAGAAGGTAAAGAAGGAAGGTCCCTTTTCCTGTCGACAGATAGTCAGTGAACGAAGCCAGACAATCGAAGGGCAATGACCTATCCCTGGCTGCCCAGTTACAACAAATCCATTCAGTCCTTTGGCGTGCCTTCTCTCCAGAAGGTGAACCAGTGTGTCGTAGCCCTCAAGACCGACGAGAGCACTAGGCTGCGCCGAAACCACCCCAGGGAGCAGCAGAGCGTTCTTGATCAGATGCATATCCTCAAAGCAGACATAGTCGTAGCGTGGGAAAATATCAATCTCGCCGTCGCGGTCATCATGAATCTGAATATCGCGCTCAGGAGTTTTGATACCGTCCGGCTTGTATAGCATCTTGTAGACAGTCGGCCAAGCTCTGCCCCAGGCTTTCTGGTAGAACTCGTTCACAGGCCGATTGCCCGATATGAACAGAGCACGTATTGCGTCGAACATAGCGGAATCGTTAGGTGGGACCATGGTGATAGTCGTGGTAGGTGCAAGAGCACCGTCGACACGACCTGAGGGGCGACGCGCGACAGGGGCATCAAACGCGGTCACGTTCGCATCCTCCGCCCGCGCGGAATATTCTCAAACCAGCTTCGTGGACAACAACACCACATGTATTCGCATCGCAGCAACAACAATCATATTCGTACAAACACGCTCAGTACAAGCATACATGCATCATGGTACAAGAACAACACTTCATCCGCCGATCCGATTCCAACGTCCGTAATCCATCTTACACCGCAACTTGAGTTTGAACGTCCGCCACATCGACCCAGCTATCCTTCTTCCCGTGAACCTTGTTCTTGATCTTCTTCTCTTCATCCTTATCTTCATCTTCATTCCTACTCGCCGTACGTCCGTCAATAAAACCGTCGACTTCGCGCGTCCTCGCCGAAGGGGCCGCAAGTTGAAAGAAAGGCGCCTACCCGTCCACGTTGTCGCCGCCGCCGCCGAGCACGAGCACGACAGTCTTAACCTCGAACCCATGGAAGCCCAGCCTCAACCTCGTCTCCCCATCCGTTTCGGCCCTAAGCAACTCCACGCCCTCGGCGCTCTGATCGAGATCCTCCAGCAAATTGGTAAGATGCGCGCTCTTCACATCAAGCCCGCGAATGAGAACGTCCGCCCGCGCGTGCCCCCCATACGCTTCGTACAGCCTCAGCACGACCGTCTTCACGTTCTTCTCCTCGTCCAGATCTCCGCGCTTGATAGTCTCGAGCACGACGTTCTTCGCGCCGCGCACCTCGATCGGCCGCCTATGTGCGTGTCCGGGCTTGTCCGCGTCGATAGATGTCGAAGCAGAAGAGGGCTGTTCGGGGATGAAGCGCATATGCATCGGCGAGTTGAACACATACGCCGCCCGCGGCACATCGCTCTCCAAAAAGTGTCCCACATGCGGCAACACCGCCCAGCTAAACTCGTGTTCTCCTTGGTCTTGTTCGGCGTCCGGCGCCGTCGCCGCCCGCAGCAGACTCAGCCGCAACACGTTCCCGCGACAGCTGTACCCGTACTTGCTCTCGCTCAGAATCGCGACGCCGTACCCGAACTCGCTCAGGTCCGCGTATTTATGGCCGCACACTTCGAACTTGGCCATGTCCCAGGTCGTGTTGCCGTGCGTGGGCCGCTGGACGTGGCCGAATTGGGTTTCGTAGGTTGCGACGTCGGCGTGGATGTCTAAGGGTAACTCGAATTTGAGGAACTCGTGCCGCTCGTGCCAGTCTACCTTCGCCTCGAACTTAAATGAGGGACGGGAGTCGGCCGAGGGTGTTGTAGGGAGCGCGTCGAGCGAGATCTATTGCCCATCCCAACATCCAATCAGCACCCGCCATGCATGCAAAAAGGGAGGAAAGAGGACGCACTGTGACCAAAATCTTACTCTTCCCATACTTCACCTCCGCAACAACAGCAGCCCGCACACCCCCCTCGCTCACCACCTTAACCCCCTCGAACCTTAACTCCGTCCTCTTCTCCAAATGATGAATCTCGACGTCCCACGCGTCCCAATAATTCGGCCGGTCCTCGAAAATGACCAGCCCGCCGCTCTCGCCGTACCGGATCAGCTCGCGCCCGAGCTTGACGTCGTACAGCGATTCGATGCGGCCGTTGTTGATTGTGAGCTGGACGGCGGGGCCGCGCAGGACGCATGAAGAGGGTCCGGTGCTGGTCGCGCTCACGGCGCCGAATTCGGCCGGGAGGGATACGGGCAGCGCGATCTGGCTGCCCTCGTCCGAGCGCATAAGCGCATACCCCTCGCTCCCGTCCCTACTAACCCCCACAACGCTCCCTCCGAGAGCCTTCGCATTGCCCTCAAGCGGCACAACCACGACCTCCTCCCTGGCAAACGGCGTAGTGTTGTACCCGATCAGTTGCGCACCGCGCGTGAGCTGCGCGGCGTTGGTGGGGAGGAGCGGGACGGAGTTGGGGAGGAGGATGCGGAAGGCGTGCTCGATGAGGTCGTGTGCGGATTTGGCGACTTCGGCGTAGAGCGCTTCGGCGTCGTCGTAGACCATGCCGATCGCGCTGCCCGGGAGGACGTCGTGGACTGGCGATGAGGATGGGACTAGTCAGCGCGTGTTTCGTTTTGCGGTCGTAGTGATGAGACGTACACTGGTTCAAAAGCACCTTCTCCCAGCACTCGTTGATCCTCTCCCACGGGTACGTGTACTCCCCCGGCTTATGCACGCTCGCGGCCGTCGCGAGCAGCTCGACGTCGCGCATGAGGATCTCCGACTTGCGGTTGCCCTTCTTGATCGAGCCGTGCGAGGTGTACGTGCCGCGGTGGAACTGCCCGGTCGGTCAGCACTCGTCATTCGCTGGTGGAAAGGCGGTATGAGCTGGGGGGAAGGGGGTATGAGACACACCTCGAGATAAAGCTCGCCATGCCAATTCGGCAGCGTGCGCCCGCCCCTGCTCGTCTCGCGCACGCCCGCGAAAAAGTCGTCGACGGACGCGCCCATGCTCACGGGCGGGATCTCGCGTGAGTGGTTCGACGTCGCACGGATGCGGCGGAGCTGCAGGTACGTATCAGCATCACACAGGCGAAGGACGGGGAGAAGAAAGACACGCACGTTCTCCAACATCTTGCTCAACGGCCCGCCGCCGCCATCGCCGTTCCCGAACACGAGCAGCGCGCCCGCGTGGCTCTCGAGGTTCTTGTGGTTGTTGATGCCCTTAGTGATATCGCCGACGGTCGCCTGGGCCGTGTACGTGTCTGTGTGCGCGCGGGGGCGTCAGTGTGTGCGCGTTCGTAACGGAGGGTGGAGGTGAGATATGAGGAGATGAGGAGAGGGTACGCACCGACGGGCGTCATATGGCACAACACCTGTGTACCGTCGATCCCGACCCAGTTGAACGTCGAGTGCGGGAACGTGTTGCTGCGTACATCCGTCAGCATTCATCCACACCACATTCGCCGGTTACACGAGAGACACACGCACATATTATTCCAGCTCAGCTTCTGCGTGAAGAAATAGTCCATGCCCGCGGCGCGGATGAGCTGCGGGAGCGCGCCGGAGAGGCCGAAGGTGTCGGGGAGCCAGGCCGTGCGGCAGCGCGCGCCGAAGCGGGATTCGAAGTAGCTGTGGGGCGCGTGTCAGTGAAAGATCAGATTTGAGGGGAGATTGGAGATGGGAGGGGCATGGAACGCAGGTGCGTCGACGGGAGAAGGTCGACAACGAGGGCTCGCGCGTCGAGTGGACGGCATTGGTGAGGCATATAGCGAGGGAAGCGCGTAGATATAGAGCAGAGAGCAGATACGTGCAAGTGAAGAATAACAGCAAGAGCGCGTATACGAACGACTAAGACCGTACAGTACAAGAAAGCACGTCAAGTACGTACGAACACAAGAAGCGCGCGTACGACAGGGAGCATAGGAAGGGAAGGATAAAAAAAGAAACACGCACCGTTGCCCGAACACAAACTGCCGCACGAGCGCCTCCCCGCTCGGCATGTTCGCGTCGTTCTCGACCCAGGACCCGCCGATCGGGTGGAAGCGCCCGTCGAGCACCTTTTCTTTCACTTTCTCGAAGAGGGGCGGGTACAGCTGTCATGGCCGGTCAGCATCGCCATAGCTAGAGGGTACGAGTGAAAGGTGAATGGCGGGAGATGGAGAGTGGGGATAGGGGTTCGACGCGCGACAGGGGTTTTAGGGCGGAAAAGCGCACCTGCTCGAGCCACTTGTACTGCTGCGCCTGGCTGCACGCGAACCGGTGCTCGGGGTAGCGATCCATAAGATCGACCTGCGTCGCCCAGGACCGCGCCACCTTCTGCTGCGTGACCCTGTACGGCCACAACCTGCCCCGTCCAAGTCAGCTTCTGCCTCTACTAAGCGTGAAGAGGGAACTTGTTAGGAACGCACCACGCGGTGTCGATATGACAATGCCCGATCCCCACCACCTCCGCCTCCTTCGCCCCCTCCTCATACACCCCCGCGCCCTTACTCTCCCACCCGACCCCAAACACCTCCTCCGCCCGCTTCCGCGCCTCCACCATCGTGCTCTCGTCGCCCGTCTTGAAGACATTCATGATCTCGTTCGCCGTGACGATCGCCTTGTTTTGTAAAGCGGTGTTGCCGGGGAGCGAGTCCGCGAGCTGTTTGAGCGCGTCGAAGTCGAGCATGAGGGCCCAGGCGGTTGGGTTGGGCGCGACGAGGTCGGCCGAGGCGAGCGTGAAATAGCGGTTGTTGTCCGGCGGCATGATCGTGTCGCCGTTCCACGGCACGCCGAACATCCCTACAATCCCGATAGTGCATCAGCATGAGTAGAAAGCAAAAGCGTTGGAAGAGAAAGCGCACCGTTGCACGAAACCTCGATAACGATATCCACCTTCCCCTCCTCCCTCGCCTCCTTCGGCAAAATCCACTCCACGCGTCTGTCGCCACCAGACCCTCCAGTGAGTCCTTGAAGCGGCGTCCCATCGCTCGTAAACACCATCCCCTCGCACCCCGGATCAAACTCGAACTGCACGACCTCATACTTCTCAAACTCCCCCGGCACCTCCAGATGAACTTTAAACCAATGGTTCGTCCAGCTCGGTCCGAAGCTCTCTCCTTTATGAACTGAGCGGAAAGATTGCTTCATCGCTTCGGCGAAGGAGGGCTTTGTGAGGCCGGGCGCGGACCAGACTGTCATGGAGATGGCGGAGGAGGCGTCGGTGCGGAGGGCGTAGAGCTTGGAGTAGAGGTTGACGTCGGCGAAGAAGCCGCCGGTGAAGGTGCCCAGGCGGTTTTGGGTCAGGCTCTATGGGAGGGTAGGCGACCATCGAGAACACGGGCGGCGATTGAAGAGGCGAGCGGCGATTGAAGAGTAGGCGGCAACGAGGAGTGTAGGCGACCGTCGAAAGGGTAGGCAGCGATACAAGAGTGGAACGATTCAGCAATCAGCACCGTCCCCGTCCTGCAGAACGACGACAGACGCGCACCTTGATCCACTTATTCCCAACCTTGAGGTTCTCGACCGGGTACGGCGTCGGGCGCTGCCCGTGGTTATGCGCGCACGACATCTTCGTGCTCTCTTTTGCTGCTTTCCTTTCTTGACTTTAATACCAGTGGTAGTCGGTCCCTCGCGATGGTGGTAGTGAGAGAGCAGGAGATGGGAAGGGAAGAGTGGACAGGGCGCAACGAGGGGAGCAGGCGTCTGATCAGGCGACGACGCATGTGCGCGTTATTGCGGGGTATCACTTTGATCGCCGTCCGCAGCCCCTATCTCGCGCTTCGACTGCCACCAGCGGCCGTACCACCTACTATATGCGCTGTCTCTGGCCACCAACCGCGCTGATGGCCGCTGGATACAGTAGAACTGCGAATATTGCGCTTGCGTACGCGTTTTCTGCCGCAGGGCGAGCGCGACGACGCGAGGACAGGCCACGACGCGGCGCCCGTTCTCGTGTCTGTGTTCCTCGTCGACGTCCAGAACCCAGATGTCTCCCTCAATTTCTCAGAATAGAACGACCCGCTTCCTCATACGCAGGCTATGACGTGCATTGCAGTCGAAGCTCGTAGTCATAGAAAAATATAACTTTGCAGCTATACGCGCAAGGTCTCGATGCGAACCTAGCAACTGTACGCAGACCTGCATCTCGACGCGAGCTCCGACGGTGAACACATTACACGGCTCGTCCGAGCGCCAATGGCCGGCAGTCGTACATGGATACATCGTATAAACACAACAGTACATCTTCTCGCCTCTCCTGAGACCTTCGACTGCTCAGCGGTCGAAGCGCAGGCCATCATGATCGCGGCGCGCGTCGATGAGAATCCACTTGACAGCAGGAACAGGAACAAGCGCATCTGAAAACACAACGCACTCGTCAGTCCAACCGGTACCCTCCAGCCCTGCAACTGGCCAGTAGATCGAATGCGCACCGGGTAGTACACCGCCCATAGACACGCCGTTGCGATCAGTACTAGTCTCTTGGGCACCAGTGGCAGTGAACTGAGTCGTCCGGTTCTTCATCGATATCGCTCCATGGCCATCTTCTAGTTCTACAATGGCGAATCGCGATACCAGTGCGATTCTGCGACGCAGAGCGGTCCGTTGAGCAGATCTCTGTCAGCGCGGGCGGCGCCGATCCGCAGCGAATGACTGGTGTCAGAAACGCTGCAGAGCAGAGTAGAAAACGTTGGGACTCGCCCCTTCGATGCTGCTAGTCTGTCAAACAGAGCAGCGCGACCTGGAATAGCATGGAAGTATTAGCATAACGATCTTTTGAAGAAGCCCGAGGAGGCCGGAGATGAAGTTGAAAGCTTAGAGCGCCGGTAGTAGGAACGGGACTAAGCAGGTAGATCCTGGCGAGCGTGGTGCTCGACCCGTTCCCGGTACCGGTGAAGGGTACGCACGACGGCAGGGTCCCAGTCCGAATGCGTCTTCACCCAGCCTTCGCATGTAGAAGGGGTCGTCTGCACGGTGCGTGCGCAGTTGACCAGGCGACAAGGTCGATCTAGAGGGCGAGGATAACGTCTGTACTGGCAAGGGCGAGTATGCACATGTAATAGGATGTGCGCGAGATCTACGCGAAGCCACTGCTACGCAGGCAGTCGTTGATGCTCCGGTTGTGGTGGTAGAACTTGAACGTGCTCGCTACTTACCCTCGCTGCATGACGCGGATCAGATCACGTCCGATCAGATAAGATGAGATAAGGCGGCCAGACCGTTACGGAGATGTTGAAGGTCTGCACAGCGCACACGCAAGAGGGAGAGACGGCATACTGGCCGCGCTGCTCATACATCGTGCATCCGAAGCCCTCGACGATCGTGAATCGAGAGGTGTGCATGATGTAGTCTGCTCTCACGTTGGCAGCAGGGAAGACGTTGTGCTGGGGGCCAGTGCATAGGCGTACACAGCGGTTCTGCGGCAATGAGCGGTATGACCGAGCCCAAGGTCCATTCAAGCACGGCGTCCCGTCCTCTCTGTGAGTGGACATGGATATCAGTGATCGGGGATAGTGTGAAAGCCAGTTCCAAGAAGCTCCAAGAGCATAGCCGCACGAGATTGGTGAACAGAAGTAGTGCATCCAACGCGGTACCGCTCGCGCACGCCAGAGGAGGCGCGGTGTGCACACGGTTCTTTATGGCCATGTTCGTGTCCTATACCCCGCATACACGGTCGAAAGACGCCACCGCGTACACACTTGAAGAACCTGTTCCGACGGATCAAACCTACGTCTTCAATGGGGTCCTAGGATCCTAAAGGATAAACTTACTTACCGAATACCCGAGGGTTCAATGGGAGCCCGAGCAAGCCTACGCTTGGCCCTCCAGAATGAACGTCCAGAATGCTGGGGTAGTAGCTTGAGGTTGTGGACGAGCGAAGAGCCCATCATGAAGCGCGCAAGGACGAGGCACACACCGGTGATATGCAGCCGTTGACGCCCGCATCATCGTCCTACACTCGATGCGGTTCGTTTTGGAACCGTCGGAGTCTTAGAGGATCCTGGGGAACGGTCATGAGGGCGATATAAGACTGTAGGGTATGCGGGTAGAGGCGGACCTGCAGAGCCGGCAAGTCTTCCATTGAAGCTTGACCGAACAGGTCAAACCCAAATATCCCGGTAACTTGAGTCAGACGACGACTCGTAGCGGTTCGTCAGCGGCTAAGAGAGATCTGGCTATTGAACACGAACGCCCATGTCAGACGCCTCTGCGTGTTTCTGGTCGTTGACTGGGAGTGGGATCTTCCATAGGTGGGACATTGATTACATGTTCAGACGAATGCTAGACACCTTTGATTGTATGTATATAAGAAAGAGTCGCGAATCTGGAAGATTGAAACATGTTGTAGTCCGCGCCGCATTTTTGAACGTGATGCATAGTCAGCGGGCGGAGGTTGGGTCGATGCTTCCCACGAGACACAGGACTAGGGGTTGTGAACCTGAGAATGGAGCTTCAGCAACAGGTTGGACAACAGGGCTCGAAGGGCAAAGAAAGAATGTACAGGCACCATGGTATAGATACCTGTGCGCGTGTGACCTCCGGGATCCCTCCCCTCGAATGTCCTCAGCAATGAGGGACTAACGGGGCGAGTCCTTCAAGAGGATGGTCGTTGATGGGACGAAGAAAATCCATACGGCGGTGGCACCGCACGTATGTTGTCGCGGACGAGGGCCACAGACCGCCAGCCGAAATCGGTAGTATGCACAGGTCACGTCGATGGCATTGTCCCGTAGAAGGGAGGTTGACATGCTGATGTCAGGCGTCAGGCATGGTGCGTTGGTGTAGAAGTAGTCTGCGCGCCTTCAATATGTACGACCTTGCCCAAGCATAAGCCTTTCCACCGCGACCTTATGCCAGGTCTCTCCGCTGACACGCGCCGCATTTGCACCTGCCTAGATGCCTGGCACATCGCCTAGTGCACCAGCGCCGGTGTCGTCAACACTCATTGAACGTCTGCAGCAACGAGCAGTAGGTGCTGTGTAATCGACGGGCTCAAACATTCCGGTGACTAGATGAGGCGCGCGGAGCTTTGTCACTGTGTGCGCGTATTCCGAGTGAACTGTATGACCAGCCGTATTTCGTTCCGATTGAGAAGGCTCCGCAAAGGGGCACGCATAGCTTTAAATGGTGTGGTATAGCAGGCAGATACATCCTATGTCGGAGAAAGACATGGTGATGGTTCAGGGTATGTCGCAACACTCGCTTGAGCCTTGCGTGGGATACTCGAATAACGGCCGAAGCTCGGCCGAGCCTGTCGCCGAGCGTCTTGCCCTCCGTCCACCACCAAGCGGTCCTCGAGCAGAATATATTCTCACCTTCCTGTTATGCTATGCTATCGATGATATCTCAATCTACCTGTCATACGGGGAAAGGATGAAAACTGAGCCAAGATGAACGTGTGTCGTCCTGCCTCGCATTGTACGCGCGTACCCGTATGCTGTACACAGATAGACGTGCTCCGGCCGGGCGCTTCACGATCCCGCAACGTGTATCCCTTGAGGATCCTTGGGTATATATGCGGATGCGACCCGGAAAGGTCTCTCTTCCGCTCTCTACCATCATCGTGCACGATGTCTTTGAACCAACTCCAGCCTCATCCAGTTCCAGATCCTACCCAGTACGACGCCAAAGAGCGATGGCGGCAGGCACTGGAGGATTACGACCGGGAGACTAACCAGAACCTTCTCCAACAACCGTTCACACAGGAGCTCCTCTCCCAGTCCAGCGCCGAGGCCGTCGCGTTGCGCCTCCAAGGGTTCATGGACTACCGTTCGAAAGGGCACAAGATCCTCGCTGTCATGGAATCCATCGCGAGTGTTATACTCCGATTCATCGAAGCTGGCGCCGAGGCAGCTTCCGTGCGCACAGCTTCTCTTCACCGCCTCAATGCTTTTCTGACCAGTCAATAGAAGTTCGCTCCCGGAGGCAAGGCCATATTCGTTGGTTTCGCGGCCTTACTCCAGGTGACGTGACCCTCAAGTGCCGCTTCGCGCGCGATTATCTGATTGTGTGTAGGCTATGAGAGGTGTGACTGAACTATACGATGCAGTCGAGTTTCTGTTCCAGAAAGTGAAGCACTACGTCGAGCGCGTCGAAATCCATCTCGGCCCGCCCGGCTTGCCAATCCCCGCTATCACGAAGATCCTCTTCGACACACTCACTCAAGTATTGCGCTTCCTTGCGATCGTGACCAAGTACTGTAACGACTCCGAATCGGAGACGACACCGCCGTGGCGCCGTCTGAAATCGTTCCGGGATACCGTCCTACAGCGCACAAGTACGTTCCCTTGCACACCCTCATGAGGATACACGCTGAATGGTCTTTTTAGATGACTACTTCAGCGTGATGCTCGACAAGACAGATCTACCCGCAGTGCTCAAGAAACTTGATGCCCTTGCAAAGGCGGAGATCGAAATGACCGCGGCACATACGAACGCTATGATGAGGGCAGGTTAGGGCCATCATACTTCTCTTATTCGGATGTCTGACGTTTTGCAGCTCAACCGAAGATGCTGGCCACTCACGACAGTATAGGTATGTGGAATCTTATTCGACATGACTGGTGCAAGACTGATTCGCTGCAGTTCTCAATGACATCCGTTCGTGGCTCCAACCCCCTAACCCGCAACCCCTCAACTACGAAAAGAAGAGGTATCGCGATAGCTGTACCTGGTTCTTCGATGACCGTTTCGATGATTGGCATTCGAGTCGGAACGGCATCTACTGGGTATACGGCAACGGTACGTCGTAGTCGTCTCGTATCTGGAGTCACATCTCCTGAACGTCATCTTAGCCGGAGCCGGGAAGAGTGTCCTGTGGTAAGACTACCGTGGTCAAAACTTCTTGAACCTACGCTCATCATCTTCAATAGCTCATCAGTGATCGATAGAGTGAAGGCAGATCGGACGCTAACTCTGGCTTACTACTATTTCGATTTCAGTGACCCCGAGAAGAAAGGCTGTCGCGGTCTACTTGCTTCTCTGGTCTTCCAGATCGGGACTTACCTTCAGGAGTCCCTGGACTATCTCAAGAAAGAACAATTGTCTTGTCGTTCGGATGATCATCCAACCTCTGAGCGTCTTCTCGATATGCTCTCGTGTCTTTTACGCATCTCCGGTCGTACCGTTCTCATCATCGATGCTCTGGATGAATGTCCTGAATCTGCGCGCTCTACAGGCTTGTTCCCTTTCATCGAGATGATTCGTGACCTGAAAGATGTCGCCGATTGCTGCCTCCTCGCTACAAGCAGGCCTGAAGCCGATCTGCGCAATTGCATGCTGGATCTGGCCACTCATTCAAAGAGTTTTCACGACGATGTCCGGCATAACAACGATATAAGGGCCTACATCTCGGCCCAGCTCAGTCAAACAAATACATATTACTGGGCGGCTGATTCTCGTCTTCAGAAAAAGGCCTTGTCAGTTGTGGACCAAAAGTCGCATGGGATGTGAGTATGGGCTCACCCATTCTCAGAACGTTTTCACTAATCGTCGGCTAGGTTCCTTTGGGTGGACCTACAACTTCGAGCACTGCGGCACTGCTCCAAAGGCGACGTCGAGCACGTCTTACTAGATCTGCCAGGTGACCTTGATGATACGTACGGGCGAATCCTGCGTGAGTTTCCTGACCGGGGTAGCATGGTGCATAGTGCCCGACGTGTCTTTGAGTGCATTGCCTCGGCACAGTGGCCTTTGTCTGTCATGGAAGTTTTTCACATTCTTTCCGCAAACGTTGAATCCCCTCAAGTTGCTGAGGTTCTGTCTGACGCCGAGGTCACCGAGACCGAGACCGAGACCGAGACCGAGACCGATTCGGGTGAATCTTCGCATTATGTCTCGTCGGATGAGCACATTGATCACGCTAAAGACATCATTCGTAAGGCATGTCCAACCCTCTTAGACATTGTCGTCACCGATGGCCGTCGAGAAACTGTTCAATTCATTCACTTCTCGGTCAAAGAATATTTGATGTCCCAGAGAGAGCATTCCGGCAATTCAACTGTATCGCATGGTCACGGGTATATGTTTGATGCACGTACAGCCAACATTACGTTTGCGAAAGTCTGTCTCCGTGTCCTTTGTGGTGATCCTCTACGCCCTCCAGTTATGCAGGACTATGCAGTTCTATTCTGGCACAACCACGTGGGATTGAGTCGTGGTCACGAAGATAATCAATTGAACAGCCAGCTTTCCAGCTTTCTCCGCTTGGACTCCCCATCATTTGCGAGACTGACACGGGCATTGGCAACGTCTTACTTGTCTTACTGGATGCAGCGTCCACACGATCTGAGTGGTCATATGTTAAGTTGTCATTCTGCCCTCCACGCTGCTGCTGGTTTGGGTCTTCAGAAACAAGTTGACCAAATGCTCGACCGCTGCTCCCGAGAGAAACTAGAGGAGGTGATTGATGCTCGCGATTGGTACACGGGCACGCCATTGCACAGTGCAGTCGTGCGTGGCCACATTGGTGTCAGTCGCAGTCTACTCGACCACGGTGCGAGCATTAACATCCCGGGCGGCTTTGAGAGCAAGAAAACCCAGCTGGAGTACGCCATCTCGGGCGGGAACATCAACTTGATACGTCTGATGATGCGATACTCTTCGGTCGATGACTCAGGCGCTCGCATCCCTGCATGTCATATTCGCAACAAATATGGGGAAACTGTCTGTCATCTCGCTGCTGTTCATCGCGATGTTAATGTGCTACATACTGTGCTCGAGTATGGCGCTCTCGTGGATGTCGAGGACAACGAAGTCGGTAATACTCCTCTACATGATGCCGTCCGTGAAGGTTTATTGGGCATTGTATCTACACTCTTAGCGCAGCCTGCGTCGGACGGGTGTTCAGATCCCCTTTCCCGTCGTTGTAGTGCTCGTAATTGGGACAATGAGACTGCATTGTGTGTCGCTGTGAGGAGAGGGCACGTGGGGATTGCTCGATACTTGCTCCCGTACACAAGTTTCGATGATAACGGTTCTAATGGAGAGCAAGTCCCCCCTTTGCAACACGCCGTCGCCGGTCGTCACCTAGATTGTGTGCGTCTCCTCCTGAATCACCCCCCTGCAAATGAGTCCAATGCCGCTGCTCTGCGATACAACACCTGGAGCGGTCTTGGTACTTGGTGCGGAAACGCCCTCCACTGTGCTGCAGAGGGTGGCAACATAGATATCCTCAACCTGTTACTTGCACAGCCGAGTGTTCGCATTGATTACACAGACTCTGATGGCAGTACACTCTTGCATCACGCTGTCTCTTCCTCAAAGTTGGATATAGTCCGCACAGTCATTGAATGTGGCAGTCTTCATGATGTTTTAGGCTACCGAGGCTGGCTCCCTCTACACGAAGCGACGGACAGGGGACAGCTCGAATCTGTCCGCATGCTTCTTACACACCCACGCACTTCGAGTACTGCTACCTTTCAATGTCGCACTAAGGTCAAGCTCGGGTTCGGGAACGACTTGGAACACAATGCGACCGCGCTGCATATAGCTGCTGAGAACGGCCATGTTGACATTTGTCGCATTCTGATCGAACATGGATCGCTCCTCAACGAAACCACCAGCAGTGGCGAGACCCCACTACACTCTGCTGAAAGAATGAAGTGGGCAAGGCATGGGATGGAAAATTACATAGCCACCATCCGTTTCCTTCTCGAAGCCCGCGCCACGAGTGTACCAGTTGTTACACCGCTGGACCCTGCACTGAGCGGCAGGCTGCGTGCACGCGCAGAAAGTGACCCCGAAGACGGACCCTGGAGGGCCATCTTCCAAGATTTCGCATCACAGTTCGCGCCGGTTCCAGAGGCTGTATGATAGGGAGTCCTCCGGCATGGATGTGAGGTACGCGATGGATCGTTGTCGTCGTACGCCTCCCGAAGCTGTCGGTTGCGCTGGGTTGGGCTCAAGATTGGATTTCATAGTTGCTTGATTGTTTGCGTTATTCGGAGTATGCATCATGACGCTGTCGTCTTCTGTGTTCATGTCAAGTCCCGTTAAGTATATTCATCCATGTATCTCACAGTATCGTCATATGTATCAGTATGTAACTGCGGCTTGTGGTCGAGTTTTGGTAATCACCGACATAGCAAACATCATGACCGTATCGCAGGGGGGTGCAGAAGAAGCGAGCTTCTGGACAACTGAAAGCAAATCGCAAATCACCAGCTAGGATACCTTGCGAGGGCTGTCTGACGCTCACTTCCCAGGCAGCGCGTGTTCTCCGCGCACGATGTCCCCGTCGTCCTCAAGGATTGCCGTATGTTCATTGGATATGGGCACTGTGTCGGCGGGTTTACAGACAAAGCACCCATTCTCACGCAGAGACGGGCAGTCCATAGTCTGATCGGGGTGAAGATGCAGTACTATAAGTCACGATGTTCCAGTACAGATAGCAGAATGGGGCATACCTACTGGGTCTCGTCGCAAGCGGAAGCGAATACCCGCGAGCACGTTGTACGTTGAGAGCCTAAAGACGTTCTGTACCAACGCCGGGAGTCAGTACGATTCAGTAGAGTGCAATCCTGTACGGCAAATGTACTTCAATCAGGCGCACCTTGAGAAAAACAGATATGGCAGCGGAGATGCCCTTGCCGCCCGGCACTTGCTGAACACGGTCGTCAGTCATTCATACACGTTGACATGAAGGTAGAAGAACGCACCAGGGCTGAAGACGTTTCCGCAGCCGTCTCCAGTATAACGCCCAGTCCGCATACTATGGGCTTGATCGCCCCACGGACAGAGTGTGCGCGCCCATTGCCCCGACGACTACCCTTCACGAGCTTCGCCTTCTCCTGAAGAATGTCGGACACCTCTTGAGCCGCCGTGCAGCCCTCGATCTCGGCGGTCAGCGTTGTGATAGAGGATCTGCACCTTGGTGACAATGAGGATAGGTAATCCTGGTATGCGGCTGTGAGAAGGCCGTTGATATCCGAGGGAAGTGGAGTAGCTGCAGAGGGTTGAGGAGCATATGTTCCGTCGAGCCGGTAGAGAGGAACCTGGCGCGACCTGGTGAACCAGGGTATGAGAGGCATGAGGGGCGCCAGCACCGTATGTTGTTGGGCGCTGGCAAGCGGCGAGCTCGACCGGGCTAACGCCACAGTGCGAGTACATGTAGCACTGGTTTCACGAGGCGGCGCTACTATCGGCTCATTAGCGGTATATGGGTTTCATAAGATCTTAGGCATTCTGCCTGTGCGCGTATGGCGAGGTATACCACTGTAAAGCATTCTTGTACGCTTAGTGCGAGAGCTGGCAGCCGGGCTGCATGAGCGCCTGAGCTGAGGAGAAGATGATGTCACGACGGGAAAGGCCCATGATAGTAAGAGGTAAGCGCTGAAGCGTTCATCCAGATCCGCGCGCGATGGGGAGAACGCAGACGAAATGTCTGCGCTACCTGTCGTCACGGTCGGAGGCAAGTCCTGCCGCGCCGCGCCGCGAATCGACACGCGTGCGGGCACTCCTTCAGTTCGCTCATTACGGGCTTCGAGTTCCGGACACCCAGCAGGCTGCAGCGCAACACCTACCACGAGACACATATCTCGCTGAAGCCTGGTAGGCGCCATTGGTGTCCACTGGAACAACACCAATACCATAGGTTCTAAACCTCCCCACGATATAATTCTCGAGAGTGGACGACAACGGCCTCGCGCGCTTGCTGGTTCGCTACGTCTCACCTCTATACTCCTTCACGGCATGATTTTGTCGGATCGTAATGTCATAGCTAAGTATACAACGGTAGTACAGAGAGGTAGTATATAAACATCATCAATGAAGCGTATGAGCCGTCCCCCTCGTGTACCTCCCGAAAAGCGCTTCGCCTACGCCCAGCCCGATAACGATAGAGAGTATAAATCCGACTTGGTATGTCCTATCAAGGGAGTAGATGCAATTAGCACCCATATCCAGCGGCGATGATCAAGAGCAAGCCATAACCTACATGACGGCCAACATGAACAAAAAGCCGAGCAAGGCGAGAATGGCAGTGATTAGGCCGCGCGGGAGGTCGTGTGCAGCGATGAAGGGTAGCGCAGTACGAGGTATTTTGGTTGGCGTAGACTGAGGTTGACCGAGCGTCGTCCTCTTGTTCGTGCGGTTAGCCATTTCAATCAACGCGCTGCATTGCCTATCAGCGTCCATACGCAATACCAAACGCTGCGGTGCGAACGTACCGTTGGTGCCAGTGCATCTCCGCGCACGCCTTAAGCGCAGACAACCACCTCTCTACGAGGGCAAGCATGACGAGCGCGACGCAGGTTCCGCCCATGGCGCCTGCTGTGCGCGGCGCCCAGCCGTAGAACCAGAGGTTGTCGCCGGGCGTGAAGTGGAGGTACATGATCATGTTGCCCATTGAGACGCTTGCGCCGCTATCCCTATAGACGAGTACAGTGATCAGTAAATTCTGAGGAAATGGATGGCGATGGAGAACGTACATGCTCATATCCATGCCATTGGAATGGGCTTGTGCGCCTAGCGCCAGTGCCAATATCGTCAGACCCAGGGAGTACATTGTGGTTTCTGCAGTATCCAGGAGATCGTAAGGTCCTGGTGAAAGCAGAGCACCGAGCCCTGAAGTCAAAGGGCGGTCGCAAGGGAGACGGAGGAGACGAGCCGAGAAAGCGTGCGAAGGAGTTCCCGAGTCAGCCACGTGAGTGCCGGGCCGAGTGATTCCGTGTGGGCCGCAGCCTGGTCAGCGAGGGAAGCGTTCCCCGAGCCAGAGCGGGCGCCGTTGCGAAGCAGGAAGGCGATGCGGAAGGGCCGTCGGTAGTCGTTGAGGCCGACGGTGAGCGAGGGTACCGTTGGAAGAGAGTGGGCGGCGAGATCAGCGAGCGAGACGCCGAGGAACCGTGGTGTCGCAGCGTAGACGCCAGAGATGCCAAAAGTCTGGGAGACAAAGGAATTATCGAGTGGGTGATAGCCAAAATGAGAAGTCGGTGTGACGCCAGTAGCCATGGCTTTAGCGGGGGGAGGGGGGGCAGGGTCCAGCTTCACGAGGATACAAGCCTCTCACTTTCCCCTGCCCGATGCTTGAATATATGTTGTTGTACATCCGTGGATCTGACTGGACAAATCAGCGCAAGAGAGCGGCGACAAACACGTACTAAAAGCCCCAGTGACCACTGTGCCGATCCTTCCTCCTGTGTCCGCCACACCACCTCCGCCACTATTTCACCCATCCATTGGTGGAATAGGTTCGACCGAGCTTCCAGAGAACTACGCTCTCACCCGGCCGTGTCGCATTGCTTGTCGATACCTAGGAGTCTGAAGGAGGGAAGGAGTTCGTCTGGCAGGAGAGAGGGTTAACGATGGGGAAGGGAAGACGCTGAGGCAGTTTCGCCACGATGAGGCAATTGCGCTTTTCGCACGACTTCCACGCGATTGTGTGCCTGACATTCGGCACGGCCGGGGTCTTCGTTTGAGCTCGTTCGAGTCATCTTCTCTGCCCTGCATACGACTACACGCGTACTTACAGTAGAATAGACGTGCATGTTCACTCTGCCAGATGACGCAGTAACGGCCTCATATTAGACCACCCGAACGCTACAAGGGCACTTGGGTGGAAGTTCCCCGATGGGCATGTCTGCACTTACAGCTTACAGCGCAGCCGACTTTACTACTTAGTTTCCAAATGCAAGCCCCTCAGCAGAAGACAATCGTTCTGCTCTTTCAACTAACGGCTCCGTCGGACCATGCTCACCCGTGCTAGGAGAAAAATGATGTTGGCTCAATATAGTCTTCGCAATACCGATGTAGGTGCTATGGCGGTCAGAACGTTCGGAAAATCGGAGCGCGCGCGCGCATGCCCCCGCGCTTCCCGCGCTACCTCTGCGTCCCCGCGCTTATGTCCTCCCTCGCTAGTCTGCATGCTGCTCCCTTCGCACCCTCTACTATGCGTAGTGCGCCGTTAGCGCTGTGAGAAATCAGCCAGAAGATGACGACGTGGCTGCTTCGGGCCACGAGGTGACGCGCCCACGTGGCTTGCCGCGTGTGTCGCAGGTCGCGTCGTCCTCCGGTCGTCCTCTCTCATCCTGCGACTTATAGCTGTATGACTTACACAGAATACTCTCTTAGCTTGATGAGAGCCTAATGAATTAATAGTTTCTGCTTTACTTCTGCAGTAACAGTAACAGGATGTACTATTAATAACATCTTTGATGCAGGAAATGATGCACGAGACTCGTACTCTCACGACATAAGCTTTTGAGTATATATGGGGTAGACTCCAGGCCTCACGGTGTGAAAAGTAAGCTTCAGGTCGCAGGACGAGAGAGGACGACCGGAGGACGACGCGACCTGCGACACACGCGGCAAGCCACGTGGGCGCGTCACCTCGTGG